ACTTAATATATTTACCGCCTCGGTAAATGTCAACTCGCTATTTACAATTCGTGACCTATTTGAGCAAACTGTATTATTATCAGGGGAAAAAAAAATTTCTTTTCTCAGTTGAGAATACGACAGATTTTTTTGTCACTAAGTTGACGTCTTGTCTTTCGAAAAACTTTGCCAAGTTTTGTTTTTTTTTTTTTAGTGTGAATCCGAGACTGTCGCTGAAGTTATTGTGGCGAGTGAATTTTTTCTTCCTTCATATGAGTGCGAATTTCGTCGCCAAAGTTATTGTGGCAGGCGATTATTTTTTTAATTTTTTTTTTTCCTTCCACCGTATGAGTTCGAATCCTTCATCGCCAAAAGTTGTGGAGTGATTTCGCAGTGAAGGCTTGTATTTGTACTAAATCGGTCCTAAAATAGGTTTGATGTACAGAACATTAGGAACTTGATATAATATGTATTATGCAGAGTAATCTTGTTGTGGTCACTGATACTTTTGTATTCGACTAACTGTCGTCCAACATCGACTGACCGTTGTTTCTCTTACTACTCCTACTTATATTAGGTGGGAGAGTCTATTAACTATAGAATAGGTGTGTTTCACCATAACAAGTGTTCAGGCCAAATTTTTGAATTGATTCAATCTTTCTTATCAAATCACAAAATGAAGTTGTGTTAAATAGCCATTAATGTAAAAAGGCCTCCCAGGGGCTCTATCCTTGGACCTACATTGTTTCTAATTTTCATCAATGACCTCAGTATCATCAGTTCTTCTTTTTGTATCTACGCTGATGGCATGGCTATTTACTCCTATCTTAATGGTAAGTCTAAGTTTGCTACAGTCAAATTGGCAGCTGATCTAAAAAAAATGACCTTGATAACATTCAAAGAATCTGCAACATTATCGGCCATGACCTGGCATCTGTTTCATTAGCTTTCCTCTTTGGTACTTCAACTTCACAAATATAAGTGCAGTACTAGATTGGCAGTGAGGTCTCATCTTTTTACTGTTGAAATTCCTAGATGTAACCATAAGTTCTATGGTACCAGTTTCTTTTCTTACATTTGCTTTCCTGTCAAGTACAATCTTCAAAAATTTAAATGCAACATCAATTGTCATTGTGCCTCTTTGAATCCTGTTTTTACTCCTCATTAATGTTCTCAGATTCTTTCACTCTCAGTAACCCCTTGTGTTTTAGTGGCTTTATCACTTGACTTGAGATGAAATGATTAAAAAAAAACTAATATCAGTATGAGTAGATTAGTCAAAACTTTCAATAAAATTTGTTGGTCCTGAATAGAGCCGTCAATGCACACAAAAAAAAAAAAAATTTTTTAATCATCTGTAGAATAAAAAAATCAAATAAAATTATTACAAAAAATGTTCACACGCAAAAATTAGATTAATCTATATTTTTCTATTCTTTGAACACATCTTTATATCATCTTTATCAGCAACAACCAAGAGCTGAAAGTTTTTAAATCATACTGTAAAAATGTGTCAATTTTTTAGTTTCTTTTTTTTTCTGTGGAAACAAATATACAGTATATTTTATTTTATTTTTTTTAATTATATAACACTTTTGGGGATTTAGCATAAAATAAATGTAAAAATTAAGAACATCCAAAATGCACTAGTACAGATTAGTTAAGAGTTAAGTAAAGGGTTGGGTGTAGATATAACTAACATGAAAAGTACTTCCACAAAACTTAAAAATTAAAAAAAACAATTCAATATAAAGTTTATTCATTAATGAATAATGTTGAAAATTTCATTGAGACCCAACTGTTCCCTGATTTTTGCTAAATTTTTAAAAATGAGGTCCTTTTCATTTTTTTCATGTTGTTTTGGAGGTACTTAACAAAAGTACTAACAAACTTCATGGAAAGATTGCCAGTTAATGTTTACAAAAATTAAAAGTGCTTTAAAGTTAAAATATTTCTTTACTTTATTCCTTGTTTTACTATTTTATTAACACTATTAAACCTACTTCAAAATGTCCTTGATGAAAAATTAATATTCTGGACATTCACTTGTGTAACACTCTAAACAATTTCCACCTAACCAATATTCAATTACCTCCTTTCATCAATCTTGTTTGACCTTTTATGGGATGAAAAGATTCTAAAGGTATGTTGGAAGGTCTATCTCCACCCAACTGTAGGTAATCTAGGCTGAGATTCACCAACATATGCTCCACATTAGTTTTCTGTATTGTATATGTGCACAAGACAGTAATGGTAACTTCTGGAAATAAGACGCTAAGAAAGTCTGGCATAGAGAAGTGTACACTCAGATGAAGGGGAAACACCTTTTTTATCTGAGCCAAGTGCTCCTTCTTTCTTCAGAGCTAAAGCTGACTTCTTGCATCCAGCTGTTCTCTCAAAAGGCAGTATATCATCTTAGCTGGGGTGTTTGAAATGATCCAATGGATGGGCTTGGTATGATTGTAGCTTTTTGTTACATTTCCCAATTAATTTATACATAGATTAAAAAATTCTTTATTTCTGCTTTGATATATAAATAACCAAAGGAACCGGGAGTGGGAAGCTTTCAAAATTTTAGTTCATCCCATAGTTTTGTACATGACTGTATATCATCAATGTTTTGATGATGTGTATAAATTTTTTTATCATGTTTAACAAAAAAAAATTTTTTAAATTTATTTTTACAAAATTGTTGAAATGTCATTGAAAGAAGAATATTTGTTTTCCAATAGATTAAAAAACAATTATCTAACAATGACAGAATAATTGGCGACCTAAACTGATATTATTTTTTTTCTTTAAAATCTAGCTTTGGTAGCTAATAATAAACGTCAACCAGTGGTTACCTTTTTATAGTTGGCATTGTAAATTTTACCCCCTTTTTTTTTTTTTTTTTTTTTTTTTAAGTCACTAAAGTTAGTGTTACTGTGTAGTGTTTAATGAGTGTAAGAAAAGACAGTGCAGTTTATGGGGTTATATATGAAAGATAATGGTTAGCACTAGTCTTGAAAAGGTCAACATTGCAATGATCAGGAAAATATCCTGCTATGTGTCTGTTCTACAAAGCACCATTGGGAAGAATTTGTTAGTGTTTGGCTTTTGCTATACCAAAGAAGATTCGAGAAAGCAATCCATTACTCACTGATAAGGACAAAATGAGACATTCTGCCACTGGCTATGAAGGAGAAGATTTGAAGTAGAATGTGAATTAATTTCTATGGAGATTCCAGTTTTACAGATTTCTCTGCTTCCATGGTTTTTCTCAAAAAGGGAAATAGCTAATAATAATAATAGATTACGGTCATGTTTTCTTATCAACAATGTTGCTACTACTTATGTTATTGTTAATAGTTATATGTACAATTGTTATATCTGTGGATGATTGCTATATCCTATCACCAACTGTTGTCTCCAGTATTATTTTATTTTTATTTTTTGATGTTCAAATTATGTTGTATCAGGTCCAGGTCAGGTTATAGTTGGTACATTTAGACCAGAACTCGTTGTTTCAGTTCCTACTCTGAGCTGTTAGAATTCAATATTATGAATTGCTGAGTTTGTCACATTTTCGAATACTGACATTGTCATGTGGCTGACTTAGCAATAATTGATTTATGCCTATTCAATAGAAACCAATTATACTGATGTTCATAGTGTGTTCAAAAGGTTTATATACTGACAGGAAATAAAATTACAACACTCTATAGGTCTCAATTTACTCAATGTTAAACATACATGTAATATAGCACTGGATTATAGTAAGTAATCACATCTATGGATCAATATGGGTACAAGTTTCAAAATAAGGAGTGTATTAACAATACCCATATTAATATATTGTATATCCTCTTTGGATATTAACACAGGCCTGTACTTTTGCATACATACAGTTGTACATATGACAAATAGTCTTTTGTGATGTTATTTCACAGTTGTTGCACCTGTTTGGGAAATATCTTGCAGAACATGTTGAGTAGCATGGGCATTATGTGAGCAGGCATTATTCTGGTGGAAGAGCATGTTGCTTTTTTTTTTTTTTTTTTTTTGCATGTACGCCAACAAGATAGGTTGAACAATGTTTGGGTATTCATGACACTTGAATATTCTCTTTGCAAACACCAAAAACCAGGAAGAGTTGTAATCTTTGACACCCCTCAACACTCTGAAATATATCACTCTCCAGATTGGAGTAATGGATGCATAAAGGCAGAATTTGCTCTCCTCACAAAAGTGCCATTACATCCTCCAACTAGCACTATTGCAACATCACGGGAAATATGCACACCAATGTTATGGTGTGAGTAGAAATCTGGCTCAAGGCAGGTACTTGCTTGCAATGGAATCTTTCACCACACTGAAACTGTTCAGGATACAGATAGTGAAACTGGTTACTAAATTAACTGAAGGTTTTATCAGAATATCTACTACACCCTCACATACACATCAAAATCATCCCTCAGAGTGGTGTTGCAATTTTAGTTTTTGTTCTAAATGTTCTCTATTTTATCTGCTCATTTTGATCTATGGTCTGTGAATCCATAAAAAGGATATTATGAGGAGACCTCAAAGATAAATTTGGGAAAATCAATGATATATGTAAGCCATTAAAATATTACACTTTTTTTTTTCTCAATTTTTAAGGTTGGAATTTCAGAATCATTTAAACAGTTTTAAAATATAAACATTTACATTATTTCTCATGTAAGCATAATTGGCAACATTTTTTTTTAGATAGATTCTGCAATAATTCATTTGTTTTCTAAGATGGGAGTGGAATTTTTATAAATTTCTTTGTCCATACCTACAAGCAAATAAATGGCTGGTTTTGTACATCTTAATGTTTGAAAAAAGATTTCTTAACATTGTCAAACAGTTTATATGCTCATTACTGATCAACCTGTGATAATCAGATTACAACATGATGTATGGAATATTACAGTTAATATTGGTTGTAAAATCTGACTTGACATTGTTTGAAAATTATTTTTACAATTTACTGAGGCAATTTTTCTTCTTTACAGGATATTAGAAAATATTTCCATTCAGCAGGATCCAGAGCTGCCAAAACTACATCTGTTAGTGTTAACAAAACAGAGTCACTAAATAATTCAAAAGGGAGAAATAATATCCTACAATCTCAACTGATTACTGAAAAGAATGATGATAACAATAATAATAAAGAGCAGCTTGAAAAGAAGGAACCAAAACTTAACAAAAGTATTCCAAAATTAAACGATACCAGGCATGAGGAACCTTCCTCCGAGTTCATACACAAAAAATACAATGGCGTATCTGAAGAAAAAAGTGACAGGAAAGAGTTGGGTAAAAAGAAGGAAGTTGTGAAAGAAAAAGAAAGCCCAAAAGAGAGAGAGATCAAGAAAAAACCTGATGAACATAAACAGCGAGACAAAACTCAGAAGAAATTGTCTGGTAAAAGTGGTGCTCACAAGGAGGATAAAGGGAAAGAAAAACTGAATGCAAGTCCTGAGAAAAAATATGAAGAGGAGCACAATAAAAAGATTGAACAAAAGAAGGTAGTTGTTGACTTTGACAGTGATAAATTGAAAAATGCAGTGAGAAAGCAGAAAGCAAGTATTCCATCGAAACGGAACAGGGTAAAAAATCAAGAACTATTTGAGAGTCCGAATGAATCTGAAGACATGAAGATTACCAGCTATGACAGTGATGACAGTGAGTCTGGACAGAAAGGGCCCAGTTATGAAAAAAAGGTTTCTACTTATAAAAGAAATGACAAATTAATGAAAAAGTCACAGCACAAAAGAAAAAGGTTTAAGAGTGACAGTGATGATGATGATGATGATAATTATATAGAAAGTGTCAATGAAAAGCATAAAATTCCAAAATCTGAAAAAGCATCTTCAAAAAGCAAGAAGATTAAAAAACAAGTAAGCTGTATATAAACCTTCTTCTTCTTGATTAGATAATAGATATTGATTGATTTGTAGCTTCATGTTTTTCAATGATGGCCTTTTTTAGTTAATGTAACTTGCAATGCCTTGATTTAATAAGAAAAAAGATTTTTCTCAATAGCAGAAATTGTCAAGATCAGTTAATTGGTTACTAATTTGAATGTTTACTATATTTTTACAAAGAATGAGACTAAATGCCTAAATAGAATTAAATGTATTAGAAAGAAAATCTATAAGCATAATGGCATTTAAATTAACAATAACTTTATTGATATGCATTTTTCAAGATAGATTATTTAACTGGGCAAGGTCTTCATTGCCCATGTATTTAGTATTGGAAAATAATGTTTGATAGTATAAAATTTGTAACTTTTATATCAGTAACTTGGTAGTTATGGCTAATTCATTTTTGTATTTACATTTTGAATAATTACATTACATTGCTATAAAATAAAAACTTGTATTAAAGAATAAGCCATTTAATGTTAATTGTAAGAAAAGTAATTTCTCCATATATGTTTTTTTTTTTTTTTTTTTTTAACAAGTTTCTAATAACAGTTTTTGAAGCAAACAATTTAAGCTCTTCTAGCATAATTGCAATGTTTTCAAAGAATAAAATTACATCAATATGATTGCATTGCAAAATATGTTTTGGCATTCATTAACATTTAAATATAACTTATTTAAATCTTATAAATTTATTCAATTGTTATCTATTTACATTTTGAGTTTTGACAAATGTATAGATATGAGATAATGTTATCATTAATTTTACCAATGTTGTGATGAAATAGTATATTAAAATATACCTATTTTTATTATATGTAAAAGATAAATATATGGTTATTATTAGTATCTTCATTTTTTATTTTATTATTCAAATTTGGCTTGTACCAATATTTTAATATTAGAAATAATAAAGACTTTACAATAACTTTTAAAAATAGAAGTACAACAGTTTTATGATTTGTTGATTCTCTCTCAAATTTTTTTCTCTCAATTTTTGTTGAAGAATCCAAGTGATGAAGATTATTCTTCTGATGATATGCCACAAAAAATTAAAAAGAAAAGCAAACGTTTAAAAAAACTTCAACTTTCAGACTCGGGTATGGCATTTAAATTTTTCAAAGTATCAGTGCCAAATTGATTATATATGTATCGTGACAATATCATTGTTTTTAAATGATGAGATGAATCTTAGTTATTTATGTATGCACAATGCATTTTAAGACTTATGCATCAGTGAAAATATATATAGTTATATGGTTCTATTTTAATTGTTAGATAAAGATAATCCATTGTTTAATTTTCTTGTATTTATCAGTAAAATTTAGCCAATAATCTCCAAATTTAAATCTCACAAAAGTCTTTAAGAAAGTTTTAAAATATTCAACAAATGAAATAACCTTTTCCTCTTTAATTCTATATGAAAATAAAAAGTAAATAGGATTGCATGTATTTCTTGAATTGTACACAAGTTTGTAATTGGAAATCCTTTATTTTGTAATAAGTCTATAGAAAGACATTAACTCTTTTTTTATGAACTTAAAATTATGTAATAAGTGATCATCTTTTATGTAAGCTGTATAAAATGGAACTTACCAACCAACATTTCATATGAATTTACTACTTTAAATTATTTACTCTAAACGACTCTTTTTACTACTTTAATTTTTTTTGTTGATCTAAACAAGACTCTTAACCTGATATATTTTGATATTTTATTTATAGATTCTGAAGAGGTTGAATTCAAACCCAAATTGCAGAAACGTCGTTCCAAGTTTTATGAATCTGGTATGTTTGTGTTGAGCATGTTAAATTTATATCTGGAAATAGTTGTTTAAAACTCTTACAATATACTTTTTTTATTCTGTATATAAATAACAAAAATCAATATAACCTTTTATCTATGTCATGTTTATGTAGCTAGTATATGATATCTTTAGTTTAAGTGGCCTGTTATTTTTTATTTAAATACATGACGAATCAGAAATATGACAAGACTTAGTTCTTACAATATATAAAAACTAGTTGCTTAATTTATTAAAATGTAGCTTTTGTCTAATTTGTCACCACACCACCCCCATTTTGTACTTTATGTAAAGACTTTGGAGCAAGTGTCTTGCATTCTCAAAAACAAAAATCCTTTTTTTTTTTCTTTTTTGCAGATATGAATTTTGAAATTGTTAGTTCATTTAGGGCAAAATATCTACCCAAGATAAATACAGATACTTTTAAACATTTTGAAATCATGAATAAAAAAAACATCTGAGAGAATCAAAACTATTCTAATTTTCCTATCAAAGACCTTCCATTAGTCATCTTGATTGTGTATTTTTCTGTGAAAAAATAAATAACTGCTTTTAATCACTTGTCAAGGTTACTTTCCTTTTCTTCATTTTAATCCAACCAAACTGGAATTGGCTTCTTAATATCATTTCATAAAAATAACTATGGTTTCAAATTTTCTTTTCATATCTTTTAAATATGAAAGTTTTTATTTTACCAAGAAAAAGAAATGAAAATGTTAACTCTTGCTTCAACTGACCATTGTTAAAATACTTGTGTATTTTTCACGTTATTGTAATATCCGCACTACTCAATGTCATAAATGTTGTTTTCCACATTGAAAAACTTCCTGTCATATGAATACTCTTGAGCTTAAAATATACTTGAGATGATTTTTTATCTTGTACAATATTATTTAATGTGTGGTGTATGCCTATTGTTTAACGATCTGAAAAGAAAAGGGTTAAATATGAGAGATTTTATGAAAATCATAATTTTTGTATTAATAGGATATTTTGTCAATTAAGGGAGTTATTTTTTTTATTTCCTAGATGAAGAAAACAGAGCCAACAAATCTCCAATAAAGAATTTCTTGAAGCCCAAGATGACAAATGAAAATATGAGTGCATCTAAAGTAAAAAAATCTCCAGTGAAAGCCAAAGTTATTAGTGTGGCTGACTTCTTTGGTTCATCTTCTGTGCAACGAACAGAAAGGAAGGCAGTATCAGCTAGCAAAAGAAAAGTTAGTATACAGTTATTTAACATTGTTAACAAGATCTGCTTTGAAACACTGATTAATCAGGTTATATTAGTAAAGCAGGACTACTGTGGCCAATTTGTTTTACTGTCTGATATTTTTTTAAATTTTAGTTTTATTATATGCATTTCTGGAACTTACAATATACTTATAATGAACCACTTTAGTTGGATTTCCATCATGATTAATTAAATTTTGGTGAAAAGAATTAACCTTAGCTTATGACCTCACTCATAACAGCTCAATTACAGTTGGAAATGAAGATCATTTGCCATTGATTAAATGATGTTCTTTCTCTTTGTATATGTATTTTTGTATATTTTTAATAGTTGGATTAGCATGTTTTAGGACCAATCCTTTCTCATTTAGGTATCTGGAAGCTGTGAGGATGAATTTCATGATGATGATGATTTTGCTGCTACACTTGAATTACTTGATATGCAAGAAGCCCAAGTAAAAAAGGTAAATTGTTTTTGTAGGTTTAAGCATGCATGTGCAAATAAGCAACTCAACTTAAAAAGCGATCCATAAAAAATGAAAGGAAGTAGAAAAGTATTTTCATTATGAAATACAAAATGTTTTTCATATTTTCATTTTAGAATATGTAAAGAAATATAGAGATTGGATTTGACAGAAAACACTTAGCTACATGTTAAAAATAGTTTTTCTGCTTATTAAACTTAAATATAGTTATGGGGCTATTTTAAGGTAAATTATATTCATTTGTTAAATATTAATTTTTACATGCAAATCCAAATTTAGTTTTATGATATTCATTTATGATGGAAAAAGTTTAATGCCACTTTTCTTATGTCAACAAAGGTTGACATGTCATAAAACCAACCAACTAGCCAATTTTCTTTATGTAGACTAGAATCTAAAATAATTGATTATAAATAAATATGTTACAGAAGGACCTGATATATTTATTTATATTCAAGAAGTCTAAAGAACCATCTTGATGGACTAGTTCTTAAAACATAATTATGTAGAATATACTCTCAACATTCTTTTCTTTCTCCAAACCAAAATATTTTTATAAAAACAATATTATTCAGCTTAGAGGAAGGTTATTGATAATGATGCAACTTACTGAACAAATTCTAATTAAACACAAATTTTTTAATAACTTTTCTCAACCTATTTAGACTTTGGAGTAAATGATAATCAGATCTGAAAAATAAGTTTGTAGAATTTTTCCTTGCTGAGGTTTTTGATCTTTTCAAATATGATCTTTGCTGTTTGTTGGGGCCATACATTATGATGGAACATAACACCTTTAAAATCACTCCACCTTCTGACAAATGTTTTCTGTAAATCCTGCCAGACACTTCAAAATTTTTATTCATTTTGCATTGATATAGTTTGTTAGCCACCTCTAAGGCAGTGTCTGCATGTCTTTATATTCTTCTAAAATATTTATCATCACCAGTTGCTAAAAACAATAATATCACTAAGTGGTGATATGCCTTCAGAGAAATGTATAGATCCACTTGCTTTTAGAATTAGCTTTTGTCAAATCACGAGGAGCTCATTTTCCAAGTTTAGACACCTTTTAAAGTTGTTGAATATAACTATGAATGGCTATAATTTGGTTGTTGGGTGAATTCTTTATCCCTAAAAGCATCAACATTGAACTCAACATTACAACCTTTTTGTGGCATAATTGATAGAAGTGGTCACCTTTTTCAGCTTTTCAAACCATCTTTGGTAATTTCTTTCATTTAAAAAAAATCTATTTTATAAACACCATATTTTGAATTTGTTCTGCAGTATTATTACCTTTTCTAAAACTCATTTCTGTAGCTTTTCTAAAACTCTAAGCATAAACTCATATTCAAGTGGATCAAGTTAGTTGAATTGTACTGTGATAACTTATATTTAAAACTGTACAAGCACATAACTTTTAGTCAAAAGCAATTTGACACTTATAAAGAATATTTGTTTTTTTCACTTTCCACAAATGATTCCAGTTTGCACGTTTTCCCAATTCCGATTTCTTGAATGGAAATATAAGTTATATATATATATATATATATATATATTAAGGCATTAAAAACTAGAAATGTTGTATTGTAGGCCATGATAAGTTTAAAATAAAACACACACCAGTCAACCGGTTTCGTCCCCTCTCGTCAGAACTGTTAACGGGGAATTTAGATTATGAGGAAAAGAAAAAAGTCTGTCATGGGTGGCATGAATGAATGGACAGGGAAGGAAAAAAAAAAAAAAATTATACCAACCAAGCTGCTAGAAGCGCAGAACAGCAAGTCCAAGCAAACAATCTCTTTGTTTGCAAAGAGCAGGTTGCCTGGACCTGATGTAAAAGCGACTCCAACACCTTAAGATGTAAAAAGTGAGTGCGAACTGGCCAAGACAGAAAACCAGTTCACACTGAAATCCATCGCACAAGTTGGATTCTTTATAAAATGATCCATAATCGAAGACCCATACATGTTACAAAATGGTATCGCCCAAAAAAATTTTTTGTTTAGTATTATCATGAGGTACGTGTTGTTTAATTCTTACATCCAACCGCTGTGTCGTTCTACCTATGTAGTCGTATCCACAACTACATTTGAAATAGTAAATAACAGAGTTAATATGGTGTGTGTGTGTGGGGGGTAGAACATCTTTACACATAGATGAAAGTACGGACTTAGTTTGAAAGACAACCACGAGCGTTAAGCTGCAAAATAACACTCACGTAAACTACATGAAATACGCTTGGCGAAAGGATTCACTAATCCTACCCAACCACGGTAAGCGAAGATAGCCGGACATTTACCTACTGAAGCAGGTTTGATTTTTGTTGAACCTGGCAGTCTCATCTCGAATAACCGATTGAACAATGTTCAACGGATAACCATTGTTCACAAAGATCTCAGTTAAACAACTGATTTCATGTTTCAAGGTGTCATCCGAACAGATCATTAACTTGATTAGGACCCTGACACATAGGGCGTTAGCCCTATGTGTCAGGGTCCTGATCAAATTAATCTTTTGTTGTTTAGGACAAAAGGAGTCCCAACGAGTATATAGTCCTATAAAAGTAGACTTCCTGTACACAGAGGTAATAAACAAGGAAGGAGTTCTTTGAACAAGAACATCTAAAAAGGGCTTTACTAATATAACCTGATTAATCAGTGTTTCAAAGCAGATCTTGTTAACAATGTTAAATAACTGTATACTAACTTTTCTTTTGCTAGCTGATACTGCCTTCCTTTCTGTTCGTTGCACAGAAGATGAACCAAAGAAGTCAGCCACACTAATAACTTTGGCTTTCACTGGAGATTTTTTACTTTAGATGCACTCATATTTTCATTTGTCATCTTGGGCTTCAAGAAATTCTTTATTGGAGATTTGTTGGCTCTGTTTTCTTCATCTATATATATTCAGAGGAGTCAAATCGCTACGATATAACATATCGCTGCAAATATCAATAGTCTCCGATAAAGGAACACAAGTGAAGAGGCTACAGATGTCAAAGGAACACATAAATCCATTAGTGGCATCACAATTCCGAATGAATTTGGAAAAAGAAAATGAATCTTTAATACAAAAGGAACTGTAATGTTGCAACATTATAGCAAGCCACTTTGCGACTTTATGCTGTGAAGACCCAATCATCAATAATATGGGTCTCAACGGGACACCCTCCTTATGAATCTTAGGTAATCCATATAGACGGGGACGAATAGAAACAGACGGTCTCAATTCCTCCACCATTTTAGAAGAAAGAACACCACTTTTTACCCATTTGATAAGACGTTTCTGAAATCGAATTTCAGAAGTCAATGTAGAATCATGAGTGTCAATGGAACCAAGACGTTGAAACTTGGAAGGGTCATTCAATATACTTAACATTTTCGTTAATGTAGTCATGGCGGTCCATGAGGACAACACCAGATCCCTTATCCGGTTTAGTAATAACCAAAGAATGGTTATTCTTAAGGGATCTAATAACCTTATATGTTCACTTCTCCATTTCGATTCAGAGAAAGAAATAGGAGAACTAGCATAAGAATGAGCCAAATGATTCAATTTAGCTCGAAAGTCACTGGATTTATTATCAGACACGGTTGAAGTTTGAGAGTTGAGCATACAATACTTCAAATTCAGAAAAAATATTCTCCTTACTAATAGAAGTGAAAGGAATGCTAAAATCTAGGCCGTGGGCCAAGATAGCAAGCTCAATCTCTGAGGGAGAATAAGAAGACAAATTCACTACATTTTTTGTAGCATTTGGTTCAACCATACAGCCAAATCTCTTGGAGATAAGTTGTTTTAACTTATTCTGAAAACTGCTAGCCATCTTAGAATGACAACATGCATCAAACCAACGTAACGGGCAAAGCGGATTCTATCAAAAAATTTTCTTTGGGCGATACCATTCGTAACACGTATGGGTCTTCGATTGCGGATCATTTTATAAAGAATCCAACTTGTGCGATGGATTTCAGTGATATATATATATATATATATGAACTGGTTTTCTGTCTTGGCCAGTTCGCACTCACTTTTACATCTTAAGGTGTTGGAGTCGCTTTACATCAGGTCCAGGCAACCTGCTCTTTGCAAACAAAGAGATTGTTTGCTTGGACTTGCTGTTCTGCGCTTCTAGCAGCTTGTTGGTATATTTTTTTTTTTTTTTTTCCTTCCCTGTCCATTCATTCATGCCACCCATGACAGACTTTTTCTTTTCCTCATAATCTAAATTCCCGTTAACAGTTCTGACGAGAGGGGATGGATAAACAGTTGACTGGTGTGTGTTTTATTTTAAACTTATCATGGCCTACAATACAACATTTCTAGTTTTTAATGCCTTAATACGCTTTTTGTACTGTTTCAAACCTATTTAAATATATATATATATATATATATATGATGGATTCTCCTGCCATTTTGAATGTATGAGTGTCTTTCAGTTCAGTTTTTGTTTGTTTTGTATGAGACAACAATCCTGCACAGGATTTGCAAACAAGTCTACACAAGGGACATGCTGGGGAGTTGACTGTCATATGAGCTGATGTATTAGCTCGAGATTTAGTGTTGGTTCTTAATTCCCTCAGATGGTTGAGATGATTCTTTTCAAAGTTAGTTATACCTCAGAAGCAGGTGTTTTTCCAATTTGCTCGGTTTTCAACAGCAAGGTCAATATCCTCTATAGTGATGTTTGCAGCATTTAAATTGTATTTAAGTTTGTCCTTGAAGCGTAAGCAAGGACAGCCTAAATTACGCTTACCATGTAAAAGGATGAGGATTTTCAGCATCTGATCATCATTCATTCTGATGACATGACAAATCCATCTGTACTGTGATTGCAGGCCTGATGATTGTGTCTAATATATAATTTTTTAACATAAGGTTAAATGTGTTTTGCTGTTTCATCTTCATCAAACTTATTTAGAGGATTTGCATTTGGCAATTGATATTTTTTTAAATACTATTAAAATATAATTATATCCATGTGAATATTTATATCCTCTGTTATGTATAAAGCAAATGAAGAAGTTCAGGAACTTTTAGACTCAGTGTCCTATATATGGACAGATCTAAAAGTAGGGATAAACTTGGCAGTGTAGCCATATGGAATGGCATTAAAATCATGAAACAACTACCAGATGGGTCCTCAATCTACAGTGCAGAAGTTCTAGCCATAGATCTAACACTAAAATGATTTCAAGATCCAAAACAAACAGGTTTATCTTTACATTTTCTAAATCCACACTTATATCAATTCAAAATAGAAATAGCAAGAATCCCCCCCTCATAATTAAACTCATGAATAAGTTAGATCTCCTCTACAAAAACAAAGAAAATATATTGTTTGATACTGAATCACATTGGCATTCAGGGAAATGAAAAAGCCGACAAAACAACAATCGCTAAATATGGAACTATCAAATACAAAACTCCCTACAATGATTTCTGACCAATCATTAATAAGATTATTAAAGAAAAAAATGGCAACAGTTATGGAATAAATATCATAATAATAAACTACACAATATTCAGCCAATCATCAGTGAATATTTCTCTGGCTACCAAAAGATAAGAGGTGCTTGTCACTAGACTCCATATTAGATATACACATATTACTCACAAACATTTATAGAGAAATGAAATCCCACCAATATGTGTACCATGTCAGGAGTTGTATATTTGACCAACTATAAAATGTTTACAACACAATTTGGCTCTAAATGACTCACAAGAGGTTGAGTAGCCATTAAACATAATCAATCAATACTATAGGCTCAGTCATCACCATATGTGACTTTTTTGGCTCTACTACAAAAAGCACTCTTTCTCCTCTGCAAGGCACAAGTTATGGCAATCTTAAGTTGGAAGTTAGATCATGTCAGCCATTTACACAAAAGTATAAAAGAAGCATAATGTTTGGCACTGATAATTTAAATATTTTTGCATCAGTTCAAATTTGGAATGGTAAAAAGAAGCAATCTGAATTTTCGTAATATATATCTGTTAGTATGAAGATAATATTCATTATCTAAATTTTTAAATGAATTTTCTAATGTTACTGATAATTTGGAAAGTGATCAGATGTCTTTTAGGTCCTTGTAGACAGCCTAATGGTAGGCTAAGAAACAGCTTTTAAGATGGCTTTTACTTTGTCGGGATATAGTTTTGTTCATTGGCTAGTATTCTGTTTAAACACTCATATTTCAATATCACTGTATACACTTTTTTATTTTTTCACGTAACTTCTGATAATCCAATCATTTTTTTTCTTAAAGTAGTAAGCAAGTGCTTTTTGAGGTTTTCTTTTTTAATTATTGTGTAAATGTAATTGAATGTTGCATTTTTCTTCTAACAGGCAAAGATTGTTTTTGTAACAAGATTCTTTAGAGCTTAGCTATGTTTTTATTTCTATGATCTTTATTTTATTTAAGATTGGCTGAAGATCTAAATTCTACCCAGACTGTGCTATTTTTCATTTTATGATTAATTTTTCTCTTGCATACATTTTTTTTAGATGAAAGTAGAAACTCCTGAAAATCACAAAACACCAACAAAAAAAGAAGCAAATCTCCAAAAGTCAGAAGACATATTAGGTATATATTATTTAAATATAGTATTGGTATATATCTTTTTTTACTGCGAAATGTTTTTTCTGTTGTGTGGAAAAGTTATGGGTTTTATGCCTTGGATGTCTAATTGTTAATCTAATATTTTTTCTAGCACATTAATTTGTGTGTGTGTGTTATATATAATATATATATATATATATATATATATATATATATATATATGACAATAGGAAAACTGTAGTAGTCGCCGATTCTTTAAATTCTTCCAGTTGCTAAGGACATTTTGTTTTTGTTATTATTAGTTACTTTGTTTAAATAAATTCATTTTGTTTTTTGCCTTTAGAAAGTCCACATTGGACGAAACGTGTTGGCTACTACTACAGTTTTCCTATTGTCATTTATGAATATTGTCTTTTCTGCAGGTTAACTCTGAGAAATTTTAATATCTATATATATATATATATATATATAATGAATAATCAAGAGTGGCCTCCTTTTGTTTTGTTACTCTCCTCTTTGAGAGAGCTCTGTTTACTGGGATTATAAAAGGATACTATACGTGAAACTTATATTCAATAAAGCTTTTTTAAAGTCTACACCTGTGTACATTTGCCATTACAATTTATTCAACTGAAAATCTCTCCATCATGGAACAATTAATGCACCCACAGTGGTTCGACGTAAAACCTGATATTACAGGCTCTGAAAAGTGCTGGACTCATTGGCGAGTGACATTCGAAAACTTCTTTCAAGCAGTACATGCAGAAATCCCACATCAATCATTGAACAAGCTTGGACTCTTAACTAATTATATATCACACACAGTACATGAAATAATCCTGGACTGTCCCACTTACGAGGAGGCTATGGACATACTACAAGCTATTTACTGGAAACCAAAAAATGAAATCTTGCAACATAAACTGGCTACCCAATGCCAACTAAATGATGAATTGCTGGAATAGTACTTAAAATAATTAAGAACCCTTACCAAGGACTGTAACTTCTGGCTAGTGAAAGCTGAAGAGCATATTCTGGATACTTTTATCAAGTCTACAGAATGCCCAGTTAAGGCAAAGACTCCTTGAAAATACCAATCTAAATTTAAAAACAGCTTACAAGCAAGCCTATACATTTGAAGTAGCCCCAAAGCAGTCTTTCTACTTACAGACTGATACTGTTGGTGCTGCTCCGAACGCTCAGTATTCTCATTTACCCTCCTCCTCTTATGTACATGATTCACAGAGTCCCTCTTCTGTGACTTCTCTTTCTAACCAGAAAATTCCAGATACTCTAAACTCTTCAGAACTGCCTACCACTGCTGCTGTCGCAGGTTGTAAATGCTACTTTTGTGGATTCGGTCAACACCTTCGGTCCTCTTGTCCAGCTAGAGATGCTAGGTGCCACAAATGTGAAATGTTTGGACATTTTTCAAAAGTTTGTCAGTCCACACCCTCTAAAAATAAGACTTCTACTGCCTCTTTTATTGTAGCTGCCTTTCAAAAAGCATAATGCAGATTACAGTTAATGGTGTTGCTACTGTTGTACTAATTGACACCAGCAGTTCTGATAGTTATATTAATTTCAGCATTGTGAAGGCTAATCTGTGAAAGATTTTTTTTCCCTGTTTTATTCGAGTGTCTATGGCAAATGCTTCTCATCATAAGTGATTGGATGCTGCCTGGTTAGCCTACAATTAAGAAACCCTTTATATAGAAACCTCAAAATCTCGATAATGAAGAACCTCTGCAGTAATGTGATACTGGGGTATGTCTTTCTACAACATCATTCTGATATCAAGATTCCTTTTGGAGGACCCAAACCAGCCCTCAGCATTTGTGGATTAACAGCAGTCAATGTCCTGTACCTGTCACTCTTCAATAACTTATCTCCAGACTGTAAGCCTATAGCAATAAAGTCAAGATGGTACTCACTTAAGGACAAACAATTTATAAAAGCTGACATTACGAGAATGCTTGGCGATGGAATCATTGAAACAAGTGAGTCTCTATGGAGGCCCAGGTATTAGTAACATCTTAGAACCACCAAAAGAGATTAGTAATTGATTACTCACAAACCATAAATAGGTTCACCCTATTAGATGCTTACCCACTACCATGGATAGACGAAATCATAAGTGAAATTGCCAAATATAAAGTGTACAGCACGCGAGATCTCAGAAGTGTCTATTACCAAGTGGCTATTAAACCAGCAGATTGGGCCTACACAGCTTTTGAGGCAAATAGTTGCCTCTACCAGTTTAAAAGGATACCATTCAGAGTAATGGATGGCATTGCCAGCTTCCAGCGAATTATGGATAAAATTATTAGTGATGAAAGATTTGCATACATTGACAATGTGACCGTATGCGGACGCAACCATGCATTTCACAATCGTAATCTCAAACAATTCATGGTGGCTATTGAGAAATATAATCTCATATTAAATACCGACAAATGTTTTTTTGGCATAGAGGCCATTAATTTATTGGAGTACACCGTGAGTAAAGGTTCTATGTCACCAGATCTGGAACGATTGAAACCTCTACTAAACTTGCCAATTCCTAGTTATATGCATGCTCTATAATAAGCTATGGGTATGTTTGCACATTACTCCCAGTGAATTGCTTCTTTTTCAGATAAAATACATCCATTGGTACAAGTGGATAGTTTTCCTCTTTCTTCAGCAGCAATAGAGGCTTTTAAAAATCTTTAAAAGGGATATAGCCAACTCAGCAGTTACGGCTATAAATCCTGCCATTCTTCTGGTAGTAGAGACAGATGAATCTGATTGTGCAATTGCTGCCTCTTTAAGGCAATCTGGACACCCAGATACTTTTTTTTTATTTTTTATTTTTTTTTCTCCCCTCAAGGATTTTGTCATGTTTGGAACAGCAACACTCAGCAATTGAAAAAGATGTCTATGCTATAGTGTAAGCACTCAGAAAATGGTGGCACTACTTGATAGGGCGGCATTTTTGATTGATCACTGATCAAAAGTCCATCGCATTTATGTTCGACACCAGAGCAACTAGTAAAATTAAGAATGACAAAATGATGAGGTGGAGAATTGAACTCTCCTGTTTTTTTCTTTTGATGTGACCCTATCAAGCTGGGAAAGAGAATGCTGTAGTAGATGCACTATCAAGGGTATGTAGCTTGATACCAAACATAGTTGAGCTTTGTACCCTATACAATGAACTGTGCCACCGAGGCATAGCAAGATTGACACATGTGGTAGGAACCAGAAACCTACCATATTCCATGGACAACATAAAATAAAAAAAATAAAAAAAATTGATAAAATTATGCAGCATATATGTGGAACACAAACCACAGTTCTTCAGCCCTAATGTCGGGATGCTTCTAAAAGCCACTCAACCATTTGAGAGGTTAAATATAGATTTTAAGGGTCCACTACCATTAGAAAATAGGAATCACTACACGCTATCATCAATGAATATTTGCAATTCCCGTTCACGTTTCGTGTCCAAACATATCAGCAAATTCAGTGATACAATGCTTATGCTCTTTATTCACCATTTTTGGGGTTCCAGCTTACATCCATTCAGACTGTGGAGCCTCTTTCATGTCTGAGCAGTCGAAGCAATTTTTTCAGGAACGAGGAGTAGCCACAAGCAGAACAACTCCTTACCACCCTAGGGTAATGGCCAATGTGAACAGTACAACAGCATTATATGGAAAACTATACAGCTAGTCGCTGCACATCACAAATGTCTGATCTCCTGCCCAAATCTCTGTATGCTATCATAATACTTCTATGTGCAGCCACAAATGCTATTCCTCACAAGAGGTTCCTCTCATTTCAACAAAGAAGCTTATTGGGAACTTCGCTTCCTTCATGGTTCTCTAAATCTTGAATGATTCTTCTGAAATGGTTTGTCTGTCATACTAAAAATGACCCATTGACAAATAGAGAGGAGCTAATTGAAATGAATCCTCAGTATGCCTGGATGTGCCACCTGGATGGGAAAGAATCTGCTTTTTCCCTGAAATACCTCACACCTGCAGGAGATGTACCTAAACCTGATATATCTTGCAAGGAGAGGCCTAAATATCGAGAGTCTTCCACTACAGTTAAAGGTCAATCTGGCAGCATTGAGCTGTGGAACTCATCAGCTGACTCGCTGCATGTATTGGATACTGAGTCCGTATCGTCTCTGGAGTCCCAGAGGGGCCCAGGAGAGCCAGTAGTGGATGATAGCTCAGAAGCAAGCCCATCCCCAAACTGATTCAGAATCACAGCAGCTCACGCTCAGATGTCCTTTTTTTTTTTTTTTTTTTTTTTCGACACTGGATGAAGGGAGAAAGCCAGTCACACTGAGTCTTCAAACTCAGAAATGCTGACTTACCAAGACATTCCAGCAGAATACAGGCAAATGGTATGAATTTGTCCCGTATGACTAAAACGAAATTGGGGAGAATGTTACGAATAATCAAGAGTGGTCTCCACTTGTTTTGTCACTCTCTTCTTTGAGCTATTTCTGTTTACTGGGACTTATAAAAAGGTCACTATGCAAACCATGTATTCTCAGTTGAATAAAGCTTTCTTAAATTCTATACCTACGTACTTTTGACATTACATATAAAATCTTATTTTTACCTACAATATCAGCAATTGCATAATAGCAATTAAGAAACTAAAAACAATTATTAAAAGTCTTAGTTTTATAGTCATAAAACATAAACAGCTAAATTTTCATTAGTTAACACCTTTTCATTCATATGTGAGTGCAATCACTTGATTGATTGCTAGATTTGTTTGAATTCTGTAGATGACTGAATAAATGCCTAGGATGCTTATTAGAAATCTGAATCTATAACATCCATAACACTAATTACCCTTTTTTTTTTTTTTTTTTTTTTCCCAAAAATAAAGAAAATATCCTAATGTAATTTTGCAACAATTGATTAGAGATGTTGATTACTGTATACTGATTTTACATTAAAGTAAAAAATTTCATACAGCATACATCAATGTCATCATCATCATCCTCCATACCATTCTACTGCCATAAAATCTGGTACTACCATTTTGAGGTCTCCATTGTCTATCTCAAATGGATTTTTATCCTTTTTGTTTAAAATTGTGAAGCAAGTATCTCTTTACCAGATTGATGGTTCATATACCTTGAAACAAAATCTGTCAAAAGATTCAATACACATACTTTGAAAGATTTTTTTTGATCCTATCTGGAATTAACTCCTTCTATACTTCCAGTATCTACATAATGTGGTATATTGTAGCAGAAATCTTAGGTTTCCAGGTGGAGCGTCCTGGTTAATCCCTTCCTTAATAAGCTATTGGTCATACTTTTTCTGTTTGGCTTTGGACACCTTATTTCAGTTCACATCTGACATTTGTATATATTTGGTACAGTTTCCCTTTCTATAATTACACCATGTATAATCTTTTGTTTTTTTTTTTTTACCAAAAAAGTAAAATTTAAAATCTTCAATTTAAAATAAAATGTCAAAAATATCAGTGAAAGTTAACATCAGCAAATATTGTTGCTGTAACAGAACACACAAAGAAAAACATGTACTGAAAGTGCTGATTTTAAAATGGGCTATATTAATAATTTTTCATATGTTATATGTGGATAATTGTCATAAATGAGAAATTGTACTGTTGAAAATATGATCAAAAAGAAGGTGCAGTTGATGTCTTTTAAATCACACACTGTGCATGTTGGTCATATAACCAGACAAGTATCAACTTTTATTCACTATTTTACAAAGTTTGGAAGAAAACTTTACAGTGATATATTAAGTGCTCTTTGAAACTCATTAGTTTGAATAAGTACCCCTCTTTGGATTGGCAGTGAATAATTCCATGTGCAAACAATAGCTGTCTGGATCCTATAACGTCGCCCTAAAAGGTCCAGAAGTTTACTAATTGATCGAAAACCTGTTGCGCATAATTGTATTTTTCACGGTCATTTCATCTTGATATTATCATTTTCGGACAGCCAAGTCATCAAGGATTCAGGAAAACACTTTGGCATAGGTTTTCTTTAAGAACTTTACATTCTATGAGGTGTTTAAAATGTTACTGACGAATGAGATTTTTTGCCGAATATTTCATTTACGCGCCATGTTGGATTTTTCTATATGACAAAAACAAGGCTTTTAAACAGCCGTGGCCTCTGTTTCTCAACAAATTTGACCTGAATGTGCGTAAGATTAGAGAGATAGAACAATAGGAAAACATATACACGCACTTGAATGGAGGGAAAAAACATATCTAGTTCTTCTCTCAGATTTTTTTTATTTTTTCTAGAAAGTAGAATTGCTGGAAAATTAGCCATAAAAATGGAGAAACGGGAAACGTTGAAAATATCTCCAAAGAAGGCAGAGGAAGCACTTTCACCTTCAAAAAATACAGGTGGTTTAAACAAGAAAAATGTAAGTAATTTTGACTTGTAATAAAATTTTTTATAAAAATGTTCTTAAATTAAAAATCTAAAAGTAATATAAATGCTTCTTTGTGAATGTTGCTTATCCTGTTAAGTTATTATAAACAAAATATACCTTCATGTTATGTTCACTGTTTATCATAAGATTTGTTTTGCTTCAGGTACCAGTGCCAATTATAAGTCCTAAAAAAAAAATAGACATTCCAGAAACACCTGTACAAAAAGTAAGTATTCAGTAATACAAAAAAGTTTGCCTTTCAAACAAATTCATAATTTCATCCTCTAAGAATATCTTTTTCAGCAATCGTTCTCAGTAACTTTTGCAATCTTCCAAAGAATTAACATTTTTTCTATAAAGACTGGAATAAATGGTAATCTGCATGTTGGATATTGTGGATGAATGAAAACTTCACCATCAGCTTATTATAATTTTTGTCTGTTTACCAAAGAAACATTTTGGTGTTATTCTGGTACAATATTCTCTTAAGTAATATTTTACCAAGACTATAAAGGTGTGTGTGTTTTTTTGTTTTGTTTTTGTTTAACCTTCAGTTGGTCTAATGTGGAGAAGTACTTATTTAAATCAATTGTTTACTTCTCTAAAAGAAATTTCAGTCCCTTCACAGCCCCACTTTGTGTGTGACACACACACATTTTGTTTTGGAGGGAGGGTTGGTTTTTATTGATTCATTTTCTTCACCCCACCTCCAGTCATCTCTTGTAGTCCATTTTATTGTAAAGTATTTTGGAAACAATTTCCTGAGGACTGAAACTATTTGATTTCATGTAGCTTATGTGATAGCTGCACATTGATGCTTTGAAAATTATTTTCTAAAGCTTGATTTGAATATTTTTAAAATGTTGGTTGTATGTAATTTTTGGTGCTGTATATAATTTTGATAATTCTCAAGTACCAATCTTAGTTTGATTGCCTCAATTGGTCTAATTATGAAACATTCACCAAATGAAATTTATTAAAAAAAACAATTCTAAAACAACTTTTGACATGTTAACTTACAATGCTTTCTCTATAAATGGTATAAAACTTTTCCTTTTTTTTCCCCTTTAACTTTTAAGTTGTGTTTTTATGTTTCTTAAAATACTCTTTTTTTTTTTTTTTTTTTTTTTTTTTTTTTTTTTTTTTTTTTTTTTTTTTTTTTTTTTTTTTTTCTTCTTCTTCATCTTCACGGTTAGAATTAATAAACAAAAACCATCAATTTGGATAGCTTAAAAAATGGAAATAATTCTATGAAAGTTGTTCCAAGGAAAGTCAAAACAAAAATACTCCAAATGCCATCTAGTGACAAACATAACCACATTTATAACCAATTCAATACATTTCATTTGTCCAGAAACACATTTATATTTAAATTAATTTACTCATTACAGTTTGTTGTTTTTTTTTGTTTTTTTTTAATAAAATGATTATCTATTTTATGTATAGTAAAGTACTGGATAATCTACAAATTTGAATAAAAGATCTATGTGAATTTAAAATACATTAAAATTCATGCCAAACTGAATCATTTGCTTAATCGTGTGTGTGAGATATTTATAAAGCAATCTGCATTTTCTTATTTTTAGATGCAGTCTCCTTCAGAAAACAGAAGTGCATATAAAGCTTATCTCAACAGGGATGGACCAAGAGCTTTAGGTTCAAAGGAAATTCCACAAGTGAGTGCTTCACATTTATTGTCTATTGCTCTAAATTTGATCAATGATTTATTTATGAATTTTTAGAAAAAATATTTATTGATTAGATTTCACACTGTTTATATTGGCAAACAAGCATATTTGTATATAATGAATTATCCTGGATCATGTTTTGAAATTAAAAGCATTCACTTATGTAAACATTGGTAATGTTTTAATTGTAAGGGAAAATACAAAGGTTTTTCTTTGGGTTGTTTATTTGAATAAATAATTACAAATTGGGTTTAATAAATTTTTTTTCTAGCCTTAAACTTTTGAAAGAGATCACTTGTATAATGAATAAATTATTTTTTATCTGCTTAATTAAGCAGAGATTGCTACATATTAGAAAAGGATATACATTCCAATCCCATTATAGAATAACTGACAAATATAAAGATAAAATTAATTTTTTTAAAGTTAAAAGCATATAATTAACTGTTTGAAAGCTTTGACACTTCACTATTTTAATATAATGTAAATTATCAGAAACAATAATTATAATCTTATTCTTTGTGTAACAAGGTGACAACTTTATTTGAAGTTTAATTTAGTGCATGGAAGTTGCAAATGGTGACTTTTGGTAGTGAAAAGGTTAAGATAACAGATTAAGAAAAATGAGAATTTAAGATAAAGATATTAATTAGAATCATAAAATGTAAATTAGAGAGCTTTACAAGGGCTTGAAACCAAGAGTATAAATTTGCATAGCTGGAAATTACTTTTAGGTCAACTTGAGGGTCAACTGTCATCAAAATGAAATTTGTCAGAGCTAAACCAACTAGGAAAATAAAATTTAAAAAATATCTATATAAGATAAAATATAGTTTTAAGGTATGTAACCCTTATATTTATAGGTTAAAGTGCTCAATATCAGGGATAGTATCCGGAAATATAAAAGTGGACATTTAAGTTGACACCCAACATTAAGCATTAAACAGGTTGTTGCCGTTGGGTGTTGACTTCAGTGTCCACATTATCCGCATAATAGGCCACATGTAAATGGTGTAAATAATAATTATCTAAATGTAGATACCCCCAATACCTAAGGTTTAAAATGCATTTTAATAACAAAAAATCTTTCTTGAAGCTTTTTTTAGTTTTAATTCCAAGCTAATAAATTAAATTTAATATTTATAATAAACAAAATACTTTGCTGTATTTCAAACCTAATTTAACTTGATTGGGATGCTTTTGTTGAGGTTAAAATATCGCAGAAAAGCATTTTTTAACGCATGTGGGTGTTTTTATGGTGTTGACACATCTATTGAGAACCTGATGTTTGATGTAAGGGAGAAATAACTGGTAAAATTAATTAACAAATACAATGTAAATGCTTCTTTTTTTTTTTTCTTTTAAACTACACAGTAATCTTGAAAATTTAGATATTTTAAGCATTCTAATATTTTATTGAATTTTAGGTACTTTGGCTTTATAGTCTAACTTATGAAGACACTTACTGAGGGAATGTTAGAGCATTACTAATAAATTTTAAATTTATTATAGTTGCCACTCTTATTTTCTTACAATGTTATGTATATATGTCCATATTTACAAAAATCGGCACATTTATACACACAAAATGTTGTCTTTGTTTAAAATAGCTGAGAATTAGGAAGGCGAGTTTCAAAGGAACAGAAGAACAGTAGGGAAAACAGATTTATTAAATACTTATACATAGAATGGAAAAACTGAATCAACTACTCCTACTATAATACTTGCTATATTTATAAGTAGTAACTTGTCACAGAAATTATGCTGAGTCCTATTCTATAACATTTCCCCTTTGAAAATTTTAATTCACTTGTGAATGTCCTGAAAGTTTCATTAACTGATTTTTACAAGAATTTCCAAATTAATTATTTTGCTACAAAAAGACACTAAAATTTCCCATACTAATTTATGGTCACCTGCTAACACTAGAAAGAGAGAAAAAATTAACCAAAATTTTGAAGGTTCTAAAAGGGATTAATGAATATAATTTAATAATAAAAAAAAAAGTCTTCTGTCTTCCCTCTTAATAATAACAAAGATTTTGAAACTTTTTTTTTTTTTTTTTTTTTTTCATCCTGTATTTTTTAGCAAATCTTTGGAGGTAATTATCCTTTATTGACAAAATAAATATATTCAACATTCATGAAATCTGTATGTGCTGGAACAGGTTGGTTGGTTTTAGATTATTTAATGTTGATTCTTGTATGGTGCACACAATGAGGATCAAACTCATTATTCAGTAGTAATGGTCAATCAAACTAACCTCACTAACTAATCCCACACATACATACCAAAGTGCTGGAACAAATTGGTTAGAAAAGAATTAAGACTAGGAAATTCGGTCACTACTATTTATCCAAAATAGATTACCTGCTTTCATCTATGTTCTATTTCAATGGCTGTTTTAAGTTAGCCCATGTCTGGAAAGGAAAATGAAAATTCACTCATAACAATACAAATTTTGCATCTTGAGAAACACATGTGAATTTAAGGGTGATAGTCAATTGTCTGTATAAACAAACTCTTACAGCTGCAATAGACCAGGTCAAGGATTTCCCCTCTTTCCATGTCTACATTAGTGATAGAAAAAAGAAGAGTCCAGTGGTTTGTTGTAATCATGAAAGAAAGTTAAGATCTACATCATTAGCTGAGATTTGTGGCTAAAGTTAATACAAGAATGGAACCAGCCATAGCAGCAGCAACTGGCAGCAGGCAGCATTTTGGGATTGAAGTCCCAAAATGCTCAAAGCACTACTAAGATGCAATGTTTTCAAGAACTCTCTTTAAATGATTATTGTCATATGTGAATATAACCAAAGAAAACACACACACACAGATTATAAATACTCTCACACCAAAAGACTGCTAGAAGTCACCTAAAATTTTCCATTTGATATTCTTTTTATTTTATTTAACTTTATTGACTCCTCTATGTACCAATAAGTAAATTTCCTTTAGTTTTACTTTGGTGTTTGGTCATTATTTCTGAGTGAATTCACACCCTTTTTATTTCCATTTCTATTGAAGCAGCAACAGAAAAACCATGGTTTATCAAGGACTTGAGCCTTGTTAGTAGGTATCACAGATGAAAATTTCAAACAAGTACTAGGTGTTATCTGATTGCATCTTCTTAATCTACATGATTAAAGAAACTTAGCAGTTTTTATTTCATCAAAATATCTCAAACCCTTTAATTTTGGCAGATTTATTTTTACACATGTGCTCGAATTAGCCATTTTTTTTGTCTATTATGAATTAGGACAAAATACCATATTTGGACTCCTATATTTTAAAAACCAATTAAGAACAACAGTTAAAATTATACTAGCTTGTTAGGTACATAACAAAGAAATTAATAATAAAATTACAGATAGTATCACTGCATATTTCTTAAATAAATTCAGTCTGAATATGCAAATTTTATAAATCAAACCCTATGCAAAGACAGGCAAACAACTCATAACCTGAGGTTTGACATTTCATAAAACTGGAAATAAGACCCACATTCATCCCAAATTTCACATATCACATTATGACTATACCAGTAACATGTCTAATTTTTGGGGGAGTGATAAAATGAATATATTCTGGATTATTCCACTTCAAAAATGAAAAAAATTGCTTTTTAACCCTTTGTCACAAGGTATTTGAAAGGCTAATTTTAGACTTGCTTGAATTGTGTCATAAAATGAATACTTCTTACACTAGAAACACCAAATTTCGTATCTAGCCATTTCTGGGGGTGCTCTTTCCATTTATCATGGTTAAAATGACCTAAAATCAACAAATTAGAATGTATATGGAGCAGATGCTGAGTACTGTCCTGATTCAACATGTACAATTTCTGGACTGTAGAGAGAGAGAGAAGCTTAACACACGCCAAACAATACCCACTAATGAACATAAGAAAACAACAGAAAACTCACCATGTCATGAAGTGGTATTCAACCACTAAATTTGTAACTGAAATCATTAAAATAAAAATATTTTATCTGTCACAATTTGATCAAAAGGTTGAAGTTCTGACACATGTTAGTTTCGATCACTACGTAAACAGTATGAAATCACCAAATTGTCTCAATTTTTAAACTGTAATGTTCCTCTCACATTATGTACATGAAAATAAACAACATAGACATAAAATTAATCAAATAAAGTTTATTTGGAAATTTTCAGTAATGGTGGGCTGGGTGTTGGGATACCTTACACTGAGTTAGTCAGAAGTAAGTCTTGGCATACTCTTCATACAATCCTTCCAAATAATCTAATTCAGGCACTACCAAAGTTCTTCTAGTCTGACTAGTATATCTTTGCTGGCGTATCCAGTTTATAGAGTTCAAGTATGAGCCCATTTGTTACTTCTGCACATAAAAGCTTACGACCCAGCGTTGGATCTGACAAAACACTGAGGAGAGTCAATCCAACACTCTCACATCTTTCACCTATGAATCCCAAATTTGTTACCTCATGGTACAATGCAGGACAATCCACTTTTGGACAACTCTGAACTTCTGCTACAACTTTCTCAATAAGGTGTACCCATCTGTTCTTAGGAAAGATTGGGAACAATTTATGTAGCCAAGTAATAGCAGAATCTCAGGTTTCCTGATATTTCTCTTTCAATGAATATATTTGAAGCAGCACCTTCTTGGAACATTCCACTTTAGGCAAAGACATCTTCTTTCCACGTCCTTTTGTCATAAAACAACGTTGTAACTGACTCTGTACATCATCTTCAAAAAGAAAAAAAATGAATTTATAATCCTATTCTGTTTTGTCAAAGTACTTAGTAGTCATCTACAAATTATTGTCCACATTTTCTTACTGAATTTGAGTTTATTTGCAGTTCATAAAAAAATTGCACTAAATACAATCAGGGATAAATATAAATTTAGTCATTCATACACCTGAGTAACAAATAAGGAAGCACTAAAATATTTTCTTAACAAACCTATTTCCACAGTGGTCCTTAAAACTGACACATTAAAATATTTTAGAATAAAATAAACAATCATAATCCTGTGAAACCCACCAGTAGTCGCGGTCGCGTTCCAATATATGACACCTACTGATGTGGTCGCCGCCCCAATATGTGACATCCACTGGTCATGACGTCAATATATGACACTGCACCGTCGGCCCGTGGTCAACTCCCAGTTGCAGTGCGAAGCTGTAAGGTTTCTTCCACCAGCATTTTGGTGTTGACTCTTTGTCGCTGCCACCAGCCTGTGTCCCAGTCGATCTGGTCGTTCCCAGTTCAATACCAGCTTTGTTGTTCTCGGCTCGCCTCCAATGCCTGGTCACCGAAGTAACTGCTTTGATCTCAAGTCTGACCTACCCACATTGTGAGTTTGATCTTAGGTAGACGAAATCAATCAGGTGTTGGGCTGTCATGCAAGCTGAATCCGGGGTAAAGGTGATACCACACAAGCGTAATTAAAAAAAAAAAAAATAAAACACACTCAAGAGGTTCAAACATGTTGAAATAACAATTATCTTTATCTCTCTGTTGAATATTGGAGTGTGTTTCTCACCCAGCCCGTTTCTATGGATTCGTGACACTTTTTGCATTTCTTAAGGGAGTTATGGTATCTTAAATCGTTCGTCAATAAAACTTGCTTTTGGTAGGAAGTCGACAGGACATGGAAATCTTTCGGTCAGCTTCTGCAAGGCAACACTCCAACTTCTCGAACTAACTCCAAACTCAAACTATCTGGAACTAGCTGCCTGCCTCAAGACGTTCGTTTATATGGATACTGACCAAAACCCGGTGTGGGGGCCTTGATAATTCTCAATTCCCAACAAGAATTCTCTTTGTTCTTAGGCCAGGAAAATTAATTACTTCCCATTTTTGGAAGATTAATCACTTTCCACTTCGGGAGGGAAGGTCGGAGGAGAGTTATCCGCCTAGACTCTTCCTCTCTCACATTGGTGTCTCATACCAATCCCTTCAGTGGGTGTTAACAACTTCTCCGTCTTTCTCATACATTCACCTCCGCCTATCACCCATGCTACCACTTGGCCAATGATCTCTCAGCAGTGTGGGTGTGGCTAAACTGGCCCTCTTAGAATTATTACCCAGAATTTTGTTTACAAAATCCTTTTTTTTCTTTTTCCTTTTTCTTTAGCCAAAACATTTACAAATCTTAGATTGCCAATTAATTCTTATCACATCTTGATTTTGGGGACACCCAAAATCCACTTAGCCCAGACCTCTACCGACTCATTAATCACTGTCAAAACCCGGCACCTGATTTCTCCGCTAGTCAACTGGGTGATCGTGTTTACCTGAGAATCAAATTCTTTATTTTTCTCGTGCCTTAAAATTCTCTTATCACCATATGCTCATTTTTGAGACACTATATCTGACATCAACAGTTTGAATAAGCAATAATAATGATTCCCTTTTCGATTTTCCTTCTCATGCCAAGATTCATGCATATACCAGATGGCTTTCTTTGCTCGAACCAGGAATTAAAGTTAAATGATATCTCTGAAAGATAATTAATATTGATTCTCCCCGCCTGTACCGCAGTTTTGTTCGAGCCAAATTGTTTTATGGCCGCCCTGTGTGGCCGGCTCTGTCTGAATTCTGTTTCATTTGGCACATCACTCCCTTATCGTGACATTAATTAATTTTGACAGAATCACAATCTCGCTTTTTCTTATGGATTTTCTGTCTTTTGCGAAAAGTATCTTTCTTCGTAAATAAAATCTTTTTTTAACGTCAATCAGTCTATCTTTCGATATAGCTCTTTCTCGCCTTAAGTCTTTCCTGTTTTTAATTTCTATGGTTAATTAGTTAGCCAATTACCATAGCTAAATAGTGTCACAATCCGTATGAAATAAATATTACTAAGAAATAATAATAAATTAGGAAAATGAATATTAAATCATAAATTTGTATCTAGATAGCAATAAATCGTAACTAAAATCCATTAGATAATTTAAAAAGTAAGAAAATTGTTTGAAGGTGTAACTTTAAACAAAATGTTACTTGGTAACTGAAATGCTGATAATTATTGTGAGAATACTGCAAAAACATAAGACATTTCAGAATTTTTTTGTCGAATGTTTTTTATCTCATTCTTTGAATATGAACATTTTTCGATCAATAAGTCTTACGTGTTTTTTTTTTTTTTTTTTTTTTTTTTTTTTTTATGATTTGAATCTGAGCGTAAACAAATCAATTTTTGTTTCATGTTTTTTATGCCGAAAACGCTTTTTTAAATCCCATTTACATTTTACATATATAAAATTAATAAGCTGAGAAATAACTCCCAAACCAACATACAAATCACCCTCCACCATGCATGTTTTATGTAAGTGTGTTGATGTTAAGATTGAGATCCTGAAGTATCAACTCTGACTACCCTCGTTTATATATGGTGCCATAAACAAGGATGTCACTCTGAGGAAAAGCCCCATTCATATTGGTATCTTTATATTTTGTTTAAATTAAATAAAGAATAACTATTAATTGTCTATTTCACCAGGGAGCTGACAACTGCCTTGAAGGACTAACATTTGTGATAACAGGTGTTCTAGAGTCCATTGAAAGAGATGAGGCCAAATCACTTATTGAACGATATGGTGGTAAGGTAACAGGATCACTGAGTGGCAGGACAAGTTACATTGTGATTGGCAGAGATGCAGGAGAAGCAAAACTAAAGAGAGCAATGAGCTTAAAAACTAAACAAATTGATGAAGATGGCCTTTTTGATTTGATCCGAATAAAGCCTGCAAAGAAGTCCAAATACTTGATTAATGCTGAAAAAGCTGAGAAGGTATTTTTTTTTTCTTAAATCTTTTATTTTACAGAATCTACACTTAATAATTTTAAAAATTAAAAGGCTTGTTTCATTGTCTTCCCAATTGCATCCACTTTAAATGTCACTGTTTTTCACAAGACCAGATGTGTGGGGTATCAAGGAATGTCCTCTCTACAGTAGAAATGCTCTGACAGGTTATTATATTGACTTCCCAGATGGTAGTTTATAGTCTTTTTTTTCATCTGCCAACTCTATTCTATCATTCATTGTGATGATAAATTCTCGTTGTTGCTGGCCCTAAATAGTATTGTATAATTTACATAATTTCATATATATTTACTAGAATTATATAAATATATGCAAAGTTGTTTTTTCCCTCTCTTGCACTGTCAACAATTGAAAAAATATTTTAAGATACTTGTGAAAACCTAATAATAATTAGAGGGTGTACGCATTCACACTCTCTCTCTCAGTTAAGCTAGTAATTGTGTAAGACACTTGATTTTGTTGCAGGTATTAAACCATAATACAAAATGAAATATAACTATTACTGAATAAGCCTAGTTGCTGAGTTAATTGCATAATTTTTCTCTTGTTGAAATGTCAGCATTTCAATTTCTTCTCCAATTAGAAGATTAATTGTACAGTTTTGTTTTTTTTTTTTTTTTTGCCTTTATATCAGGCTAAGCTTAGGTTAATAAAATAAATATTATTGAATTTTTATAATTTATGCCTAATGTAATATTTTGATTTATCCTTTTTAGTTTCTTTAACAAGTTTCTCATTACATTCTTATAATTTTTCAATATTGTACAAAAGTATCATTCAGATCCAAATTAACAGTAATGTTTGAGTCTAAATCTTTATAAACATAGTATGAGCACTTTTATGCTAAAAGTGAAATTTTAATTTTGAAAAATGTCATCAAAATTATTTTTGAAATATATTTTCACATGGTAAATCTGAATACTGACTTTGCTTTTAATATCAATATGTATTTTTCTTTTTTAATATCAATGTTTTTTTTTCTGTAGGAAACACGCACTAAGAAGGAAGAAATTAAACTGAGCAAATCTAAGATGGAATCACCATCAAAAACTAGCAAAAAATCTCCCCAAAAAGGCCGTTCCCCACGAAAAAGCTCTCCTCAAAAGCCAGTTCCTTCAATGTCCAGTGACACTGTAAGTAGTAGATCCTGTCCATCCACAACCAAAGGACCTGATGATGATAATAATGAATCTCTTTTGTGGGTCGACAAATACAAACCAAAATCCTTGAAGCAGATCATTGGTCAAAATGGAGAAAAGAGTATTGCCAAAAAATTGCTTAATTGGCTCAAAAATTGGCAATCAAATAGGGCAGCTAATGTGAAACCACCATCAAGTAAGTACATTTTTTTTTTTTTTTCTCATTATTTTCTTGGAATTTGAGACAACATACCTGAAGGAATATAAAAGAAAAATTGTGTTGCAATGTCGCAACAGTGGCCAGATTTTTTATTTAATTCATAAACAAGTTTGATTTATTTGAACATAGTCTATTGCAAAATGGTCTATTTGGTAACATTCTTAAATTTTCAAATAAAGATATTTTGGTACTATAGTGTCTTGCAGATAGGATATGTTGCTGGTTATTGCGGCAGAAAATGAAATCTTGAGGCCAGAGTTTAAAATTTAGCTGAGGTAGTTAGATTCCCTATATACTTATGACTTTGGAAAAAGTATGAATCCATTACTCCATCCAGCTAAGAGAAGGACAACTCTAAATTTCAAAACCATGAAGAAAGCAATGGAAAATTGCTTTGTAGCTTTCTCAAATCATAACAATTTGCAATTTACAGATATTAAAAAAAAGGAAGTTTGTAAGAGCCATGATCACCTACTTCCTGAAGGGCTGTGGTTTTTTTAAAAGAGGAAATATTGCCTTAGCATCTAAGTTTGATATGTAGCAATTGTGTCAAAACAGAGCTCTCTGTACAATCAGCCATTTTTCCATTTCATCTTGTGTATAGCAGAACTATGCCAGTTTTTTTTTTTTTTTTTTTTTTTTTTTTTTTGTGAGGTATGGAATTAGAATTCAATGATCAAAATTTGAATTTTTAAGGCAGTTACTGCATACATGTTTTTAATTTCTCTTTATAGATCGATTTTTAGGTGCCAATGACACAGGTGCTGGGATGAAAGCTGCTCTTCTGTCTGGTCCTCCTGGTGTTGGGAAAACTACCACAGCTCATCTTGTTTGTCAGGTAACTCAGTAATTCATTCTCTTGATGTTAGGAACTAATCTAATGCTTGGGAAAATCCATCAAATATGATAAAAGTAGTTTATTGTGTATTAATGCATAGATGTGAATAGACCATTAAAGCTTGCTTATACCTTTTCAATTTCAGATTGAAGAAATTTGTCTGAACTGAGAATTTCATTTTAGTGTTATAAATATGAAATCTTTTTAAAAAAATAAAAAAAAAATAATCTGTGGTAGAATAGTCTTTGTCCAAGGGAGCATATTCTATTTAATATTAAAATAACACTAATTTGCTATGGGGAAATTACATCAAAAAGTCTTCAAAGGAAGTCATCAAAGCCTTAATTATAGTGACTTACAGAGCAGGTGAGGATTGGAGAGGCTTTGCAGATTCCATGGAAGTTAGTAGTGGCATGGTAATGTAATGGATAGCGCGGACTGGAGAATTGGAGAACCTTGTTTGAATTCCAGTCAAGTTTGTTACATTTGTGTACGGACAGAAAAAAAGTAACTGTTTTATAGTAAAATGAAATTTGTTAAAGCTCCCAAACCACTGGCTGTAATTTAAAATAAATTGCTACTGTAAAAACATTTTAATTCTGCTTTGCATCAAGATCATATTTATTGATATACTATATGAAAAAGGCATGGTATGCACTCCAGAAAAAATGAAGCCCACTTCAAAACTATAGATCTTCGTGAAGAGAAAGCTGGTATTGAGTTATTCAGTTCTTATTTACCTTATTTTTACTTTATTATCTTTCAGGAGATTGGCTTTTCAGTTGTTGAAATGAATGCTTCTGATACCAGGAGTAAATCTTGTCTTCAATCAGAAGTGATGACTTTACTGCAGAATTCATCTCTAGTCGATTTTTGTGGTAAGTAGAAAAAAAAATTCTTAACCAGTAAATGTGACCAAGATTTATAATAGCATTAAACATTTGATGTTAAGACATGATACAAAATTGATACAGAAAGAATAACAGATCAAATTCAAGTAATAAATAATACATTGTTTAAATTTACACTTGGAAATAGTTACTATTTGGTTAGTAGACTTAAGTATTATAGAATCATTTTTCTAGAAACACAAGAAGTTTATTAAGGAGTTCAATCTCAGGATGGTAAACATTTTAAAATTTGAGAAAATGTGTTTTTGAACAGAACAAATTAAGAAAATGGTTAAAACTTTCAAGCTGATCTGAGCCAGTTCATCTGCTTGGCTTCAGATTGATTGATAATGGGATTTAGCATTTAATTTGATGAATATTTAAATTGTATTCTTATCTTGACAGGAATTTAATCTTCTCATTGTTACCAACATTTTCCACTGCATATCATGGTTTGTATTATTGTGCATTATCAAACCAAACTATTTTACAATCCAATACATTGCTACCATTATTGAATATATTTATATTTAATTCAGTGTATAAGTGTTATACTGACTGATAAAGTCTGTAGTTTACCAAAAGACTAAAAGATTTAACTTTATTGCTGACAGGATTTCTTTTAACCTGCAGGAAATGGCAAATCCATTACAAGTAGAATAAAGCATTGTTTAATAATGGATGAAGTGGATGGTATGGCAGGCAATGAGGACAGAGGTGGTGTGGCAGTAAGAAATGTTTATTTATCTTATCAGCATTTTCACTTATTTTTATAATATATATATATATATATATATATGCAAATTATTTTATACTATCTTTATTTCTTCAGAGTAAGCATTTACTAAATCAGAAATGCAAGTTTTATATTTACATTAGCTTGTACATTCTTGCTTTTCTCAAGTTGCAACACATCTAGTAAGAATTGGATCATGATTATGGATTGTAAATGCCTCAGGAAGTGGAATGTTGCAGTTTGAAAATTATGACTTATTTGTAGCATGCCATAATCAAAGAATGTTTGTATATAAAATATCAAGAATGTTTAGTGTTGTTGTTACAGTTAAATTTTATTAAGCAAATTATGTAGAATCGGTTATTATTTTGAAATTCCTGCATATTTTATCAAATATGCTTTGGTTAAATTCATTAAAAGTTAGTTACATATTTTAAGTAATCTTGAAAAATTTTTTTTTTTTTTTTTTTTTAGTAATAAATTTTCTATGTAAAGGTATTTGTCTTTACTTTAATGGATTTTACTTAGAAGCTATTTTTTTTCTTTCTGTTTTAAATATTGCTGTAATCTTTGTCATTTTCGTGCACTAACAATTCTGAAAAAATACAAACATTCTCTCCTCGCATTGAGTGAGATTTTTATATGCTAAATTTTTGTGTCTAAATATTTTCTTCTGATATTTCAGGAGCTAATTCATTTGATCAAAACTTCCAAGATACCCATCATTTGCCTTTGCAATGATCGTCAACACCCCAAAATTAGATCATTAGTCAATTACTGTTTTGATCTGCGTTTTCAGCGACCTCGAGTGGAGCAGATAAAGGTATTCTTTGTTTTACTTTTATATCAATTTAGTTTGGCTATTATTTGAATTATGCTGATTTGTTGGTTTTTTTGGGGGGGTTGTTTTTTGGGTTTTTTTTTTTTTTTTCAGCTGAAGCTGTTATGAACAAACATTCATAGATATTATAAATTTGAATTCTGAATACATAGAAATTAGTTTGCATGAAGATGATGCTATTAACTATTGTCATTTTCATTTATATTAATAACCATGGCTCTGAAACTTAAATCTAGAAAAAAGGAAATGTATCACCTTAAAAAGTGAAAAAGATGGAATTTATTACAAAAGAATTTGTCATGGCTTTAACTTTTTGAAACAGGAATGGTACCTGAAAAACATCTTTTTGTAAAAGTTGAAACAAGATCAGGTGTTTTTATTTAATAAAGCTTATTCAGCAATTACATCAACTGTGTAAGAGTATATTGAGGATTGAAGTACATTACCACTTTCCATGTATACAGTCATATAAAGCTGTGATAAAGTACACCACTAAGAATGAATTAGCCTTTGTTATCTAAGGGCTTACATATTAACATTCATCATTGGTTTAGTATGATAGAAAGAAAATCAGATGGACTAATCTTCAAATCAACAGTTCATTTTTAAAAATATATTTATAAAATGGGTGGCTGATCATATCCAACTATGCCTGTCTACTAGGGTGGCTACCAACCCCTACTTCTGCTCAGGCACAATTGTTTAACACCCACATTAGTTACACTGCATGATCTAAAGGCAGTACACTTAAACCCTTGTTCATGATGATTTATAACTTAGTGCTAGTATAATAATTGAAAACTCACCCAGATAGTGTCCTGTCTGGCTACATGGCCAAGTGGTTAGAATGTTCACTTTTTGACCATGAAGACAGAGTTCAAATATCAACATGATTGATTTGTCAGGAGGGTGACTTCTTGATGTTATTGGCTACATCCCAGCATGTGGCACCTTTTGGAAAGTGCCTGAAAACCATACCATGGGCTGAACAAAGAACATACACACAGAATATTCACAAATTTTACTTGTTTTTTGAAAGAAATTTATTAAATTTTGGATATCAGAATTTGTTGACATTTGTTAATTGAAAAAAAATTGAGCAACTAATAAGTTTTTATGTTTTGTCATTTTGGATATTTTAAAACATCAAAACTATTTACAAAATTGACAGTTACTTGATTATCATTCATTCACCAAATTTGAACTTTTCATTTTTATACAAAATTTATTCTTCACCTTTAACTATTGTCCCTTACTTTCCAAGTATGCAATTATTTTTTATTACCTTGATAAATCAACTATTGGAATTGTTTGCTTTTTCTTTAACTCAAAATTTTAAAAAGTTTTAAACCATTTTATATTGTTAGTTTTACACTTTGCTAAATATAAAATAAAAACCAAGTTAGTGCTTAAATTAAAGCAAATTTATTTCTAGCATAATAAAATTTGGTCATTTCTATATAAAATTTGAATTAAACTTTTAAATTTCTACATTCATAGACTGAATGTGTACTGGTTACATTTAGTGGAAAATAGGTTAATTATTTCAGCCACTTATTGAAAAAAATCTGATGTTGTATAAATTTTTTTCCTTTTAGCATAATATTTTACAAATCTTTATTGAAAGCAGCAAGGGTTTTTTTTTTTTTTTTGGGATGATCAAAAAGTTTATCTGATCCAAAAGTCTTTGATTTTTCAATGTTTTTATCAAAATTGTTAAAGCTTTAATTTTTCAGCTGATTGTTATTTTTAGAGCTTAATTATTTTCTTTTATCATTATTCATATTACTCACTTCTATACAGGATGTTTTGAATTCTTTGGAAATTTTTTTTATCTCCATGCATGTGTAGGCTGCAATGATGACTTTGGCTTTCAGAGAAGGTTTGAAGATTTCTCCTCCAGCATTAAATGAAATAATTGTGGCAGCAAATCAAGATATTCGACAAGTAAGCCAGATTTTGAGTTTTCTTCTAAAACAGCTACTTTTAACTCGTGATAAAATGGATGGTTTATAATCTATCAATATTTTTTAATAGTATCACCTACCCTCTTCATTTTCTTAAATGCCCAAGGAGCATTATTTTTCCCTTTCTCACTCTCTCAGTAATTCTACTTGTTACTTCTTTGATATTCTAAATTTCAAAGACTTATCACTTTTAGCTAGAAAATATTGTTGAAATTTCATTCTGTAGACTCTTATTGATAGATTTAGGTTATTTGCTTTCAAAGAAAGTAATAAATATTAAGAAAAAAAAGTAAATTATTAAAAATAATTATCGTTAAAACTAAAACTTCATTACTATTATGGTGTCCTCCCTCTAAAGAGTCTGTTGGACTCTTCTGCCTACTATAAGATTAGTAGGATAGAAGGCCTTGCGGGAACAGTTGAATAGATTGAACGCTGGGTCACACAACACACACTTACTAGTTGTGTAATACTCTTCTGTTGTACTTACTGTTTAATATATGATATATCTGCAACACATGGCACAGTGGATAAAGGCGTTGGTTAGATCCAGTGACAGACCCAAAGAAGGTGAGTTCAATTCCTGGTTAAGGCAGTGGAGAACTTTCAGAGGGAAAATTAGCAGGAGATAACTGATAACTGACATCCATCAAACATGGCACGTGGAATTAGAACAGTCTACCCCAGTGATCCCGAAATAAAGGGTTCAGTTCGAAATTCCAACCACCTGAAGAAGGCGGGCGTACAGCGGCGAAACGTTGTGACAAATATGGCGACAAAGATGAGGACAATAGTCCGACTAATGTAAATACTGTACATAATACCTCATCTCAGAAATATAGACAAAATCTGCAACACTTGTTTTGTTATTTCTTTAACCATTTACTTGGTCACAAAAATTACAATGATTTTTTTTTTTTTTTCCTATTAAGCATCCTAGAAAGCAATCACTTTTATTTCTTGCTATTATGTAGGTACCACCACTTGCTTGCTGAAAAAAGGCTCCGAAACTTAATAAAAACCAAGTTTTATCATCAAAATGTTTGTAATCATTAAGAAAGACCAAAGTATTATTAATTTTTTAATCCTTTTTAGCATGTTCGAAATATTTACGATTGGTGTTTTCTTCCTTCAGATGAAAAACATTGGAAATTCTTGCAAAAAATAAATTTTAATTTTAATGAAACTTTAGGATTTATTCGCAAATGAATGAAATTATTGTTTATTCATGTGTCACCTACACTTAATTTTGAGAAATTAAATTGCAATCTCAAATTTTGTTTTATTAGTTAAAACCAGGACTCCTTGAAGAATATTATTATTTTTTTTTTTATTTTTTTTATCAATTTTCTGAAAGTGACCAAAAAGTTGAGATTCCAATCAATACAATTCATATTTGAAATACACCAGAGTATTTTGCTTACCAAAAATAGTAAATTCATTTAGCTCTCAAAGCTATATGAAAGCTTCATTTAAGATTTTTCATTTTTTAAAATTCCCTTTAATCCTTAGATATTAAAGCCAAGTGGAAGTACCTACTATTATGTAGTGGATGCACAATTAAATATTTTAGTACATTACCACATTAAAGTGACATTTCTGTAAATTAATGCATGCATTAAATTTAGTCATGTTGGACTTTTCTTAATTTAGATATTTATTGATGTCATATGATATATTTATTCATATATTTTTAATTATGTATGAATTGATTATTTTTGTTTATTTCAGATCATCTATAACTTGTCAATGTTGACTTCTACAGCAAAGAATTTATCATATGATGAAGCTAAAAGTAATTCTCAGAAAGCAAAAAAAGATATAAAATTGGTAACTTTTTTCTTTATATTTTATCTTACTTTCAGGCAGATTATAGCTCTAGCACTTTCGCCCCAGCCCCTCAATCTCCAATGTCTTACTCTCTGGGTTGAGGTGTCTACTCAGTCCTAACTGAACTTAAGGGAGTGGCTGTAGGTCCCCTGAGCATCTGTAGATTATTCAACCGGTCCACTGGTTTAATCCTGCTTCCTGCCCACATTGTGTTTGGTTTGATCCAGAAAGCAGAAGTGATGTTCATCCATTCATGGTCGACTGAAGATGTAGACACAGTTGCACTAAGAAATTTAGAATGTAGCAAAAAAAAAAAAAAATTAATACCTGCAGAAAGTCGGACAAACAACTATTCAATGATTTAATTGTTAATGTCTTTTATATAGCAGAAAAGAATAGTATAGAAAAGAAATGGGTTACAGAAAAGAAAAGCAGTCAACGTAAAAATGCATAGACTGGATTCTGGACAGAGTGTGTTATGATTAACTTGTTGTTAAATCGTCTCAGAACGATATAAGACTTTTGCGATGGGGGAATGAGATTTCTGTGCTTGACTTAGTTTATAGTGACGTGTCTCCTTAGCAGTAGTAACAGTAGTAGTAATATTCGTAGTAGCAGAAGCAGTGGTACTCATATCAACAGCACATGTTAGTGGCCACTTCGTTCCAATCTCTGACGTCACGTTCTCTCCTTCTTGAGTCTCTCTCTTCCGTCTCGATGCTCACCCGGGCCAACTCTCTCTTCAAGTAATTTCTCCTGTCTTCCTCATTGCTCACCTGTCTCTCTCCCGTCTGCCTGCTCACCCAACTGTGTCTTCTTCGGCATAAGTATTCGTTTATATAAAAAAATCTGGCTGTTTACAACTGAACCTTGGTTGCACGTGATTATCACGGTGTTTTGGCTGTTTTAACCAAAATCATGTGAATTCAAAAGGTCCTAGCCTACTCAGCTCTATTTCAATTTTTAATCAATAAAAATTATTTCGACCATTTCCATTGTCTTCTGATGACCCAGATTCAATGGGTACAACTTCTGGCCTAGATCAAATTTCCACATCAGTAAACAATATGCTCTGATTTAATTTCACTATTCAAATCTATTTCCATTTTTAATCGATAAAAATTATTTCAACCATTTCCATTGTCTGCCAATGACCCAGTTCCAATGAGTACAGCTCATGCCCTTGATCAGATTTCCCATCATTAATGAAATTGCTCTGATTTAATTTCGCTGTTCAAATCCATTCTAGTTTCACTAAAAAAAATAAAATATATATATGTGTGTGTTTGTGTGTGTATGTTTTTCAGACTCTCTCTCTGTCACAAGCTTATGAATTTAAAATAGATTTTTGAAAAAAATAAAGGAAGGGATGCTTGTACAAACCAAAAATTGGCCTATTTAAACATTAGATCTTTGAAGATTAAAGTACACAGGTCACTCCAAAAAGTAATGCCTGCTATTTATTTCTGTGGTAAATATAACAGATTCAAAAAGCACAATAACTGTTGGATAGAGCAAATGTTTTTGCAACAGAACTCTATTCTAGATAGACCACCATTACAACTATGCATTTTTGTTAGTGGTTAACAAGAATTTGCATAAGCGTCCCACTTTTCTTTCTTTTTTTTTCTTCTTCTATATATATTGTTTTTGTTACTGCTGAAATGCATTACCTGCTGCCCTGTGTTCACACCCACTGTTTTGGATTCTGTAAATTGCATTCATGAATGTTGGTGGGAAAATTTTTTTTCTGCATGGAGGGATTCAGTTTTATACATCTGTTTCATGCACACTTTTGTCAGATGCCATTTTGCCAGGCTACTGTTCAGTTGTTATCTGTAATAGGGAAAAAAAAATTAGTTATTGGCAAGAAAAATTGATCTCTACCCTCTGACATTGTGGGTCAAAATAATAAAATACAAAGTATTACTTTCAAAGCGACTTAGATTATACATCTATACATATATAAAGGGCAGTTGTCTGTATGTCTGGCTAAAACTAAAAATCTATGATAATTAACAACAAAATAAATATATATACAGACACATCTAAAAGTAAATAACTTAAATTAAGATATATTTAAATATATCTAATTTAATCTTGACCCAGCCAATCGGCGGTTATTGCTATCTGGCAGGATCCTTTGGTCAGGGTACGAAAATGGGATGGTCAGTCAATTCTAACGGCTTCACACCAGATGCAACCAGTTTGACACCAGCTCCATCGTTCTCAGCTCACTTCCAATAACTGGTTACCGAAGTAACTACTTCGATCTCAAGTCTAACCTACCCATATTATGATTTGATCTTCGGTAGATGAGATCAATCAGGCATCAAGCCGTAGTGCAAGTTGATGTCGCACGGGCGTAAAAAGAAATAAATAAAAAAACAGAAAAGGGTTTGGGTATGTTGAAAGAAAACGAATCAACTTTTATCAGTCTGTTCTATATAGGAGTATGTTTTTTCCCAACCCGTTACTTCTGAGCGTGATACTACTATGCTTCTAGGCAAGTTTCTGTCTTCTAAGTCAACTGGTTTAGTTTTTAGGTGCTGGCTTAGCTCTGTATAACTTGTTTTGTAGAAAGTTTCGAGGTCAGAGGCTGGAATTGTAGAATCTCTCAGCCAGTTTCTGCAAGGTAACTCTCGTTCCTGCTAGCGAACTGAAAAAGCTGGCAAACTGCCCAAAGGCATGCTCACTTATATGGATTTTGACCAAAAATCAGTGCGGGGTTAGATGTGGCTTGGAGTTTTCAGTAATTCCCCAATTCTTACAAGGGTCCCTTTGTTGTCTGGCTAGGAAAATTAATTACTTCCTATTTTGGAAAATTAATTACTTTCCATTTTGGGGGGATATCTTTGTGAGGAGAGGTTGCAGGATACTCATCCTCCTAAACTCCCTCCCTCCTCGCATTTGTACCTCATACCAAATCTTTTTGGTGGGCGTTAGTAATTTCCCCCTTTGTCTTAGCAATTTATCTCTGTCTATCACCATTGCTACCACCTGATAATGGTGTCTGAGTTGTGCAGGTATGGCTAAGCTTGCTTCATTAATTAACTCTTTGACATCCCTGTTTATTCAGGATTTCTGAGTTCAGAATTATCAACTTTGTTTAAGAAATTTCCTTTTCCATCTTACAATTGGCCAACTCCTAAAATCTTTGTGATTTTGCATGATATCTTTGATACTTTCTGGTTATTTCGTGTTTTCTTAACCAGTATCACTAATCAATTGTCAAAAGCTTGCCATGTTGACTTTCTGTGAATTTATCATTGACACAAATCACTGGTTTCTTGAGAAAAGTAAAAAATTTTTTTTTTTATTTTTTTTTAAAGTAAAAATAAAATCTCGGGATATCTTCTTTTCTGCTCTCAGAATTTTCTTGTTTAATTTTTATGGCTAATATCATAGCTAAATAGTGTCACAAGCAAACATTTCTCTGTAAATGAATTTAATTACTATTTTGAAAGAGTAGAAAAACAAACATTTGAAAATCGATTATGTTTACACATCAAGTTATATTTGTATTTGAAAAAAAAAAAAAAAAAAAATTGTTAAATAAAAATTAGGAGAGACAGACATGAATTATGGTCATCATTAGTCGTGTTGAATATTTGTTTTACAAATTTAACTATATTTTATTGAAATTAATTTGTCTTTTTGAATAAAAATAAGACTATGATCAGCCCCCTAAGCATATACAGAACATGGTATTCATAGTGTATTTTCCTAAATTTAATTATTTTGTAACAAACCAAAAAAACAATGAAGTTTATTTTTTAATAATTGAATAAACAATTATTTTCCATAAGATGGCTGGAAAATATAAATAAATTGTCAATAATGAACTATTATTCAGATCTTTCAAGCAATTCTGGATGTTCCTGCTAGTGGTCAAATAAAGAGGACCAATTTTATAAACTCAATTTATGCCATTAGCAAAAAAATAACTCCTAAAATTAAAATTTATACCAATAAGGTTAACTTTTTTATTTCCAGAGTCCATTTGATGTTTGTCGACAAGTTTTTGTTGGTAATGAAGAAACTAAAAAAATGACCCTTGATGACAAAACAGATTTGTTTTTCCATGATTACCAGTTGAATCCTTTATTTGTTCAAGAAAACTATCCTTATGTTCATCCTTATGCTGGCAGGTGAGTTACAGAATTTTAATTTGTATTTTTAGATTATTTTTTTTCTCTCCATATCTATTTAGATTTTTACTTATGCATAAATAAATTAGAATCTAGAAACAATATCCAATTAGGTCCTCCATTATCTAAACGAGACCTACTTTACATGCCCTCTCTCTCTCCTCTGACCATATGATAGATTGACTTGGTCAGTTGAAGGTTTGCCCCCAGAAGATGTGTAATATTGATATTTGATTGGATAGTTTGAGGTGCTCCCAGGTGTTTTGATGTAGGCATTGACTTGGGGCCAGTGTCACCTGATATTGGTGTTCTCCATTATTATTTTGTGTTGGGCCAAACTGAATCCATGGTTTTGTCAATTTACATTTCTTCTGGTTTGTTACTCTGAGTATTTGGATTGTGTTGTACATTGGGTGATAAGGGATTATAATCTGTATCAATCACCATAGAGAATTCTCTGGGTCGGTGTTGCAGGACTCCAGGACCTGCAGAGCTACCGTACGGTTCTGGCCTAGATATGGTTAGTCTATTTTCTGTGTTGCTATCTTGAACCGGCTATAAATCAGGGTACCATGAGGTCGAGGGACTGTCTCTCTGGGTAGAATGATGTGGGATGTCAATAACTGGGTGGATTTTACAAGGGAAGTGCTGTTTGCATAGAGTTATCTGATTGTTTCCATCCACCCACACATGGTATTGCCAATTACCGAGTATCTCTGCAATCTTCCCTGTATTCATCCACCAATATTCATCCATCCATCTTAATTCTGGATTTGAACAGAATCAACAATTTGTAATTCCTGTTCATTGTAAGTGCTTGTTTTGCATGTTCCTTTTAGCCATTGTTACCTTTTCAGTTCACTAATTTCTCTCCACTGTTTATGTATCTGGTATTTGTCCCATAGGACAGGGAAGTGGTCTTTGATAACACGACTGTATAACATGATAGCAGGAGACATGCCAAGTTCCTGGATGGGAATGTTCCATTAGGTCACCAACGCATGGGCTGCACAACTGGACTCAGCCGGACGCAATTGTCAGTGTTGTCTGACACTTCTGCCCGGCCATTGCTTTGTGGATAAGTAAGCCAACAAAGTACATGTACTCCCTTGATGCAGTAGAGTTCCTCGCACATGGGCTAAAAGCAAGGGATCACTGACTGGAGGTCATGACATGATTTGGGGAAATCAGTCCATATATATTCCATCAGTTTGACATTCTTCATCAATGGCTGCCACAGCAACAATCCTATACCATGTAATAGCTCTCAGTCTGGGGTCATGCTCATAGGTGGACATGAATGCAGCTTTGATTGCACTGTCAATTAGTTTGACTGCATCAGTTGTGGTTGCCTTGTAGAATGACCATCTACACTTCTGTTGTATATATGCAGATGATATTTGGAGACATTCTGTTGATTTCTCTGGGCATTCATGCTGGGTATTGGGTGGTGCATTCGGCTGTAAGTTTTCTAGGGAGATGTTTATTGCTGAATTTTTATATTAGTGTGCGTTCCTTGAAGTTAGAGATGTGGGTTCTTTATGTTGAGGGCCCAATCTAAGAAAGTTTTTGAGTGGTTGATGGTCAACAGTCATCCCAATATAAACATTCGATATGATTCTAGGTTGAAGGTGAAACCCTGGATCTTGTCTATAGACAAGATCCAGGGTTTCATCTTCATTTTCTGTATAGCTTAGATTTTTGTGTTGTTGGTACAAAATCCAAAGGCGATTAGTGTTTTTGAAAAAGAATGTAACCAATCCTCATTTTGCTGTAATCTGTTGGTTTATTGATATTGAACATCTTTTCTCCATCCTCAATTTTACACATTATTACTTGCTTCAAAAGTTGGTCAAACATTTCGTCCCAATCAAATTTTTGGTTCTTTGAGCACAGTAATTCCCAGAGGGTGGGAGGGACGTCATCTCTGTGAGAATGCATAAGATACCTGATTCGCCAGTCCAAACCAGGACCTGATGCCCATGATACTTGTGGGCGTAAGAAAGTGAAGGATGGTCTCAGTCATTTTCTTTGTGGGTTTCACACTATCAGCCGTTATTAAGAACCCGGCAAACTCTACCTCATTCTATGCAAAATGGAATTTGTCAGGGTTAAGCACTACTTCATTCTTTCCAGAGTGGGTTATATATTCCATTGTGTGCCAGAATGAGGACTCTATAGAATCATCCCAAATGAGGCTATCATCTATGCAATGGTTTTTTTTTTTTTTCTTGAACCATGCCCACTGTAATATCGTCAAACCTGTGAGTAGAACCGTTTCCAGATGCATGAAATCCCTAGGGAGCACAAAGGTACCTGTACTGGCCACATTCAGTGATAAATATAGTGACATCTTATGCAGCTGGGGAAAGCAGTAAGCTGTGGTACCCATTTCATGCTTTCAAAACTGTTTTCCTTGTCTGGACTGGTATGATGGTGTGACACTGAGCTGTCAGCCCGTGTTCAACGCCCAGTCACGGCACAAAGCTGTAATGTTTCTCCCACCAGCGTTTTGGGGTTGACTCTTAGTCGCTGCCACCAGCTTGTGTCCCAGTCGATCAGTGGTCGTCGCTTATTTGGCGGAATCCCTTTGTCAGGATACCAATGTGTGACACTGGCCTGTCCAGGGTTGAGTTCTGGTCATCAATGTTAATGGCTTTACACCAGCTGTACCGGTTCAATACCAGCTCTGTCATTCCCAACTCACTTCCAACATCTAGTTACCAGAGTAACTGCTTCAATCTAAAGTCTAACCTACCCACGTTATGATTTTGATCTTGGTAGACCAAGATCAATCGGGCGTGGCCATAGTCTAAGCGAGTCCAGACTGAAGGTGATATCACACAAGCGTAAAAAAAAAAAGCAAATAAAAGAAAAACCCAAGAGGTTCAAGTATGTTAAGAAATAACAAAATTAACTTTTATCCGTCTGTTATATACAGGAGTGTGTTTCTCTCCCAGCTCGTTCTCTACGGAATGTGACACTTTTACGGTTTAAGCAATATCTTGAGTCAACTGATTTAGTTCTTAGGTGCTGGCTTGGCTTTGTTCGTCAATATAACTTGCTATTGGTAGGATAGGCGAAGTTGGAAGTCGTGGAATCTCTCGGTCAGCTTCTGTAAGGCAACACACTGGTTCCTGCTACTCAAACTGTACTGACTCAACTGACTGTACTCTCAAATAACCCGAGGATGTTCGTTTATATGGGTACCAACCAAAACCCGTTGTGGGGCCAGACGCAGCCTGGGGTTCTCAGTAAATCTCAATTCCCAACAAGAAATCTCTTTGTTATCAGGCCAGGAAAAATGATTACTTCCCGATTTTGGAAAATTAATTACTTTCCATTTGGGGGGTTTCCCTCGGGGAGTTATCCTCCTAGACTCTTCCTCTCTCACATTGATATCTCATACCAATCCCTTCAGTGGGCGTTAATAACTTCTCCGTCCTTCTCATCCATTCACCTCCGTCTATCACCATTGCTATCACTCGACCAATGGCATCCCGGCCATGGGGGTGTGGCTAAGATAGCCTCCTTAAAATTATAATCCAGAATTTTTGTTTACAAAATTCTCCTTTTTCCCATCGGCCAAGATTTTTATGAATCCCATATTGCCACTTAAAATCTATCATATCTTTTGGTCACTCAGAATCCACTTAGCCAGCACTCTTTACCAATTCATCAATCACTGTCAAAGTTTGCCATCTGGTCCATTTGTGAAGTTAGCTTATACTGGAACCCTTGGCTTCTTGAGAAATTGTTTATCTTACCAAATCACAATTCTTCCATGCTATCTTTTCTCCTGCCCAAAATTTTACAATCGCCATATTGCTACTCAATGTCTATAGCGTCTGAAAGCGACACCTTAGTAAATTAAATAATAACGGTCCTCTCAACCTGTATCGAGACAAATACCAAAATTTTATATTCACCACATTGATTTTCCTTGCCGGCACTCAAGAAAAAAAAATAATAAATGATATCTTGGAAAGATAATTAATATTGATTCTCCCTACCCTGTATTGGCAATCGTCTCAGGATGAAGGTAATGGCTTTCCTGTCATGGTCTATAAGGGTTGGTGTGATCATGTATTAAATGTGCTGGACTTAAAATCGTCCTGTGTCCATCATTCCATTAGGTGCTTGTTGGTTTCCATTGGAAGAAATGAGATGGTACTAGGCATCACTGGAATGGGTTTTCTATGTGGGCATGTACACAGAGTATTTTCCTTTGTGCCCTTCAATGAGTGATGTCTGTGTTGGGAAATCAGGTGGCAACAGATGTAGGTCCTTCAGAGCAAATTCTGATATGTAAAAACTAGACCTGTTGTGCATCTTGGGTAAGACGATAAACTACATCCAACAGCAAGACCAATGATCAGGCTTTGAGGAGCGTGGAACCACCTCTTAATTGCTGGTGTTCCCAGGTCCACCCTGACTCAGGGTGGTAGTACCTGTTAGGAGCCTAGTTATGGGCAAATAGTTAACCCCCGCCCTAAAAGGGATCAAAACACAAAGTATAAAAATAAGTATTAATACCAGCCATACTTTTTTTTTTTTTTTTTTTTTTAATTATTACCAGCAGTACACTTTTAGGGGAAAAAAATATTACCAGCAATAAAAATAACATCAGCATTAAATAACCCATTGAGGGTGATATGCCATAAAACAAACCAAACGTGTTGTTTGACATATACATCATCTGTTGTGTCTTCATTGAGCCAATTCTTGTATGCATGAACAACATGCCCTTTACATGAAGTTGGTTGAAGTGATGCCACGTATTCAATGACAATTTGGTATGGGGTTCTTGTCCAGGCAGCTGTGTACTTTTAATATCTCTTGTCCACTTGAACATGTTTGAGCTTGTGTTGGTGAATGCGTGGATGAGATTACTACTGTGGCTAATTTAATACATCTGATTGCGTCCAAATGAAGTGTGGGTTTGATGCATTATGGTCCCTTTTTATTGTCATTGATGGCAGTGGATCTGGGACACCACTTTCAAATCACTTTCCATTCCACACAACATGAGGCACAGCAGCAGGAAGTGTCAAACTGGTTTTACAGCTTTGTCTTGATCTACTCGCATAACTGATGGTACGAGTGGAGATGGAGGGTCTTTCATACTAGTGTTTGAGAAAGTAAATGAATCACGCCTTTTGTTACACCTTGTTGATCTGTTTCCAATTTCAATAGATTTCTGGCATGCCCTTTTAATGTGGCCCCCTAATCTTGCAATTATGGTAAACCAGTTTAGCTGCTGGGCAATCTCTCCTACTAATTGATCCATCAGGGTGGAATGGCTTCTCACAACCCACACAAGGATTCTTATTTGGTGAAGTAGTGGGTATATTTGTTCTTTGGGGTTGTTGAACCGCACGGTGCTGGTGCTCCTTGTTAGCAAATCTCACAATCATCTGCCCAGCTATCATGTTGCATGAGTAGTTGGCTTGCTGATCGCAACCTTCTGTGTTGGGACAATCAACTATGAACAGGCAAAATTTAGCTTGAGCGTCAACTTGCTAAAAAATGAGTGATTGACTTGTCTTTCACCTGACATGTAGAATGAAAGGGCTGTCAGTGAAATTGTGTGTGCAGGCCTTTTACTGCAACGAATCAGATGTGTAATAAAAGCTTTTCCTCCATAGCTGAATTTAAGGTTTCATTTCGTTATACAGAGTCAGTGTCAAGAAATAATGCCTAGTCATTGTCCGTTTTGTTGGGTTCAATGTTAGTTGTTTTTTTTTTTTTTTTTTTTTTGTGTGTGTGTGTGTGTGTGTGTGTGTGTGTGTGTGTGTGTGTGTGTGTTGGACGTTTGCATTGAATTGCATTAGGGGTTCCAGCCCTCCAAAGGGCAATAATTTCCCTTTTCAGCTCTATCATTTGTTGCATGAATTAAGCAATCAAATTGAGGGTTCCACCTGGTGCAATGTCATATTTACCAGAATCCTGTTTGCAGCACCATGTAAAATAACCACAATAACTATGGTAGTAATCATTCTCCATTACTTTATTCTTATACCAGTGAGATACAAATACAAAAATACACTTGGCTTCTGGCCACTCAGCTGTTTATATAACACCAGAGGAGGAAACTTATGTCCTTCAGTGTCTGGCTGTGAAGCCCCCCCAATTATCTAAACGAGACCTTCCATTTCTAATCTAAAGCCTCAAAATAATTTTTTTTCGGGAAATTTATGACTACAAAATCTTTATATAGAACATCACACTTTATAAATATAATATTAATTTGCTTTTTCTTGTCTCTCTCATTTTCTCTTTTCAACTAGGGCAAGCATGAGTCATCATCTTTCACTCCTGGCTTATACAGCAGAAAGCATTTGTGATGGAGATTTGGTTGATAGACTCATTCGCCAACAGCAGAACTGGGGACTTCTTCCACTAGAAGTGCGTAAATTTCTTCATATATGAAAAGTTCTAATCAAGAAGACACTTAAAAATAGATTATATTTGGTAATTTGATCCAATTTTTGGGATTGGGTGGTACAGGAAATTTTTCTACTGATAGAAATAACTTATTTGTATATAGGTATATGAAGTAATGGTTAGGGACTTTGACTGGTTGATCCTTAGGACTGATTAGTAAGTTCAGTCCTCTCTTGGTACTCTGTTTTGGGGTTTGTGCCTACAAAATCTTAGTAAACTAAGAACATGATTTGTTGTGCTACAGTAAGATTGATTTGCTAAATGTTGTATGTGAAACTTAATCCCTAATTTGAATACAGTCCATATTGATTGGTTTAAAAATCTTTTGACCAACTTTACTGAATGCTGTTGATTATCATTCAACATTATTCTACATTGATCTGTTCAGACTAGTGTCCTCATCTACCTGACCTTTTTCAGGTGTCTGTCATATTGAGTAATATTGGACCATAAAAAATATTGATAACATTTTTAAGTGAAATTCAGACAATATTTAAATATTTGTACATAGATTTATTCAACCTCATGTATGCTATTTTGTTCCACTAGGCTATACCATATTTGAGGTACCTTGATTATTCCATCCTCCCAGAACTTGGCATCTTTCTGATCTAAGTGACCCAAAGGATTGAGAATTTTGTAGGGATTTAAATAAATGATAACCCAAAGGTGTAAAATCAGTACCATGAGTACAGCAGGACATCCCAGTCATGCTTTAAAAATTTCTAACAAGTCTACAAAAAGAAGTGAAGTCTGGTGTCATGATAGAAGACAATACCCTTTTGATTTGCCATTTCTGGATGCTTTTCATCGTTTACTGCATTCAGTTGGTAATAGAACTTATCTGAATTAAATGCTTGATTTTGTGAAAAGGGCTTGTAATGGACAATGCTTTTCCTTCTCACCAGATACACCATATCACTTCTTGAATACAGACTGGCTTTTAAACTGGTTAATGCTGGCTTATTTAATTTTCCTCGAGACCTTTTCCACTTCACATTGTTGTAAACAATCCAATTTTTCTCACTTGTAACTATTCTTTTCAAAAATGAGTTGATTTTGTTGCATTTGAGCAGTGAATTGCTGATAGAAATGTGGTCCATTAAATGTTTTCTATTAAATTGAGAGGCACTTGGGCATTGTAGTGATTCACCTATCCAAGTATTATTCAAATGCCTTACAATGCTCATATGATGTATATGGAGTATCTCTGATGTTCCATGTTGAATGACCTAGGTTATTTTTAATCCACCTTTTGATTTGGTCGTCATCATCATCATCCATGACTGCAAAACTGCTGGAACATTATCAGTCTTCCAGATCAGAATTTCCTCTTATGAATAGTATTCTCACCTATAACACCATCTCTATAAATTGTACATATTTCTTTCCCTAACTTCTGGAGATTAAAGATTAAAGAGCATTTTTCAGAAATTTTCTTTTCTTTCAGAAAATAAAACCTGCTGCAATAGTATTTTCACTATTGCCCGAATGAATAATGAAAAAGAAATGCAAATCAATTACAAAGAAAAAATATTTATTTCTAACCAGCTAAACAAGGGTGCTTTCAAAAATTTGTCCCTTTTTGCTGAGAATAGGATAACCTATTCTCTAAACATATCAGAAAAACAATAAAAGGATTGAGCCCATCTCCTGTGTCAATGATAACAAAAAAAGGGAGAGCCTTTGCTCTACAGTACACTGTCCATCCTTTCAAGGTTCAAAAGTTCTTTTTTTTTCTTTACTCTCTCGTGTAGACAAAGTTCTCTTCTAGGTGACCAAACTCCCTTCTTTCTTCTCTTATTTTCCTCCTGTCCGCCTGGAAATTACACCTTTCTTTTACGGCCATAGAAGGTAAAATTTTACTTAAACACACGGTAAAACACTTTTTGAAAACGCACATGTTTGCTCTTCCTTATTCTCAAATGGCTTTAGCTCTAAACTCCACTTATGGACTTCTCAGTTCTTTCTTTTTTGGGGGTTTCTTCGAGAGAACTTCTTTTCAAACTTTCTCTGAAGTGGAAATTTGCCTTCAGCAACTTTGTTACCCATACATCCTTTACTTATGGGAAAATGCTGCCTGCCTTTTCAGTGGGAAGAGAGAAATGAACCTCCTGTTTCTAAGTGGTCTCGCTTCCAACTGCTGTTAAGGTCCTGTCACAGTTCTCCCTTCCTCTTCAAAGGGGGCGGTTCACCTTTGAACTGTCCAATCACAGTCCATTAAAAAAAAAGAAATATCAGCAGGTTCTTAGGGCCAGTAACACAGTGAGTGTCTTTTGTTCTCCTTTCACCTAAAAATTTTCAAACATTAAATGTCATAAAAATGAATTTCATTTTCTTTCATTTTTACTTTCAATGTAAAAACATCTAAAATTTACACACAAATCCTAGGAAGATGCATTAAAATGTTTATCATAAATTTCAGTTGTGTGTTCAAATGTCACCTATTAAAAAGTACTACAAACTTCTGTTCCATCCCAATATTTTGCAAAATTCAAATCACAGAAATAGATAGCAGGTATAGTGGAATCTCATGAATTCATCCTTTTGGTGTGACTTTTACGGAGCTTGATTGAGGAATGAACCCACAAACACTAGTTTCATTTGATGTTATCCCTACAATGAGAATTCTTTGTTAGAGATTATTTTTTTGGCATTATTTAGAACAAATTTCAGATCTGATAATCCTCTATCTTCACATTTTTTCTGTTTCATTATCCTCAAATCCTTTCTTCGCCTTGAAAGATTCAGTATACTTTCCAGATCAGTAATCTTAAAAATAAATTTGCAATAATTAGTGGAATTATTGATTCTCAAAAATTCAAAATATTTTCCATTTTTAAGCTTCATTATCAGGATGGCATTGGAAACTTATTTTCACCCCAACATTGCTTATATCTTCATTAAATTACTCCCCCACTTCCACATAAAAAAAATATGCAAAAACTGTTTGAATATTTGCTATTGACTCCATTATTTTGTATTATTGATTATGGAGATGTCGTTTCATGTTTAGGCCATGTATGCCAGTGTTTTGCCTGGAGAGTATATGAGGGGTAATGTCAGTCACATGGTTTCCTTCCCAAGGTGGCTAGGAAAATTCTCTACAAGGAATAAAAATGAACACATCTTACAGGAACTTTGCTCACACATGAGACTATGGTAAGTAATTTTACCATTTTTATTTCATATAAAGTAAGAAAGCAAATATGTTGAAAAAAAAAAATCTTTTCAATACTGCTATCATTTGCCAAAAGGAAATGATTTTTTTGTGTCAGACAAAAAATTAAATCTATTTAATTTTTCTTTGTACATAAGTAGTAAAAATTTTACTCTCCTACATTTTTCTAAAGCTTGTAACTTTTATAGTTTAAAATGTACCTTTGTACCAATTTCACAATATTGAAATTTAAGGGAAATTAGCTATATTTAAAATTAATATATAAATACAATTAAGTGAAACACTTATATACAATGCAATAATTATATATTTTGTATATTTTAAAATGTAAATATAAACTAAGCAGGATGAATATTTGTTCTGTGTCAAAAGACAATTCAAATCTGATTTGTTGAAGTTATTCCCCAAGTATGCATGTATTAGCATATATAGTCTAAAGACTGGAAATTACCTAAAAGGTTGTTATGTAAGGAAAAGGCAACTCTCTTTATGATTTGCAAATGATAATTTTAACAGACCAAAGTTTTTAAGAAAATATCTAAATTTGAATTATTTGTTTTCTAAAAAATAAAATCTTAAGAAAAATTTGGTACTAGGAGTGAGGAAGGTGATGGTATTGACTTAGATACATTTACTAACCTATGTATACCTTATTAATCCTTTTGATAATATTTATACTAAATGCTACTTGCATGCCACATGCACCAAAATGAAGGTTTATAAAGACTTAACTATACAATATATACATTATAAATGCTTTTTTTATAATACAATTAAAACAAAAAAAACAATCCAATGAAATGATCTCCCACATGCATACATATACACTAGTGCTCCACCCCATAATCTAATATGGCAGAATAGTAAGTTAGCTGCATTTTAGGTCATAATAAAAATTTTGTTTATTGTACAGCTTTTTGGAAGCATCACTATGGAACTTTAATTTGTCATTTAACAAATGAGGATTTGGAGACACATTTAAAATAATGACCAATAACTATACATTCTTTGACAAACAAAAAACTGGTTCCTGAATAAAAAAAAAAAAACTGATTCTTGAATAAAATTCTCAATAGAACAAAGCGTTAGTGCCAACTATCATAAATGGTCTTTATCAAGCAAGGCAAGGATCTTTGCAATAAACTTTGCCTTTAATTCTATGTTAAATGATAAGGATCACACTCTATCTGACCTCCCCTCATGTAGCACAAACTTAGTAATATTTCTATCATGGCACAAGAAATCTGAATAAAATCCCAGAACATCAGCCTAGAATTATCTCCAATCTTGCCAAAACTGTTTAATCGATGCCTGATGGTGAGATGCTTTCCAAGTGTATGGAAGGTGTCAGCTGTAGGCCATTTTTTAGAATGCAGGTGACCACTCATCCCCGTCACAGTATTGATTCATTAACCTCCTTAGTGTCGTTAGAAAACACCTTAATTCTTGTTACAGGACCTTACCCATAATAACATAATGGACTATTCCATATGTAATAAATACTGTGCCTCAAGAGGAAGCAGGTAGTTCAGTCTGAAGTCTGGAGTGAAATCCTTCAGAAGTCTCTGTCTGTCTGTCAGAGCAAGCGAGTCAGTCAGCAAGTCAGAGGCAGTCCGAAACAGTCGCGTTCAGACAAGTACTACCTGAATGTCCGTACTAACACTTTCTACTTCTCTGTATATGTTCCTGTTTGTAATATATCTGTGTTATTCCATATCCGTGTTCGAGTTCTTCTTTATTGGTTCTACCTTGGACTATCACCGTGGTTCAAGGGACTGAACCATAAATCTATAATCAGCAAGAAGGTTGTTGAACACCTGAACAGAAACAACCTCATGAGCAATAACCAGTATATGTTTTCTCTCTTTATGTCCACTTCTGGTGTCCTAACTGTCATTACTCAGAATTGGTGAGGCACTAGACAATAAATTCATCATGAGAACGATTGCCTTAGATATATCAAAAGCTTTTAACAAGGTGTGGCATTGGGGGTTGCTGCATAAACTCCCTAGCTATGGAATTTCTGAAAGAGTTTTCTCCATTATCAAGTCTGTCCTTACAGGTAGGTCAGTAAAGATCATTGTTAATGGCCAGTCATTAGAAGCCCATGCAATCAATGCCGGTGTTCCCTAAGGTTCTCTTCTCAGTTCTACCCTCTTTCTGCTTTATATTAAGGACTGGCAGTAGAGCCCAGCGTTGCCCGGGGATGTAACAGTAAGAGATAGATCAAGTATCGACCATCATAAAGACTGAAAAATAAAATTGACAAAGATTATTGTTTACGGTTGACGGACATGCATGTCTTAATTTTTTTTTTTTTTTTTTACGAATACGTCAAACCCAAATTCAAACAAAAACATTGTTTACAATCGTTATGAGTCTATTGATTGGTGAATAGAATTTTATTATAAACAATTGTCTTGTAAATGGAATTTTTAAAGCATTCTGAATGTAAATAAAAAAAAAAAGTGTGCAAGACAATAAGAAATACTACCAAAAAAAAAAAAAAAAAAGTGGATGTTTGTTTTATCGGCTGAAAAATGTAAGAAATCCGATCCCATATATAAAGGAACACACACACGCAACCTGGGTTTTTTAACCTAAGTCACTCCACGGAATCGCTAAAACATAGAGCATAGTCTGATGAAAAAGACGCCAAAGTTTATGAAAACAAAATTTTATCGTCAAAATGCTTATGTTTTTATGAAGAGGATAGACTAAATTTTTTTTTAATTATTTTAAAAAAAAATTTTCCCATCTTTTTAGAATATTCTAAATTTTGATTTAAAAAACCTTGTTTCTCTTTGTCGCAACAAGGGGTAGTAAATAACATAGATAATTTTTAGCCCGTTTTTTTGTATTTACACATTAATTTGGAAAGAAATTTAATGTAATTTTGTGTTTATAGTCGGACAGTAATTATCAAGTACGGAAGACCAACCAGAATACAATTTAGTTGCATTATTTGAGTTCAGCATTGTTCTCCGCTGTTAAGCCCTTTACTTTTGCAAAACGCACGTATGGAGAAGTTAATTTGAGTTTTCAATTTCAACTGAGAAGGGTACCTACAAGTAACAGTATCATCTTCTGAAATTTAACTACTGCTAAACTTTAATTTATATGATCTTATTTTTATATTAATCTCAGTTATGACATTTTTCCATAAATGAAATCTCAAAATTAATAATAAAATGAATGGAAATACAAATAACACAGTAAAATGTAATAAATGTACATAAAATTATAGTATTTTATGTACACTTTTGATAAAATTTCATAAAGGTACCTAAATTAATTAGATACCTTTTTTCTTATGAAATTTAATCTCACTATTACCAGTCTTATTTTTAATTTCTTTATATTTTCCATAAAGCATAAATAAACGTAAAAATGAAAGCTAAGTACAAAAAAAAAAAAAATTAGAGCGCTGAAAGTTATCCTTAAAAGTAACGAGGTAAATAATTTGTTCACTTAAATAATTTCACTTCCTTCCATCCGTGAAAGAATTATCCTCCGTAAGTTATCTAAACGTCATGAATGTGCCTTTCGTCAAGTGACGCGAAACCTGCTTTGTTTTATTTTCAAATTACATTTTTTCGGCGCAGAAGCTAAGTTAAGCTTGGTTCAAAATATTTTAAATAAACAGTATAATTTCTGTTTTTATTAAAATCAGTTTTGAAAAAATGATAATTGATTTTAAAAGAATATCAAAGTCAGATTTTAATCTTTTTATCAAATCGAAAAAAAATGATTGAAAATGATTATCTGTCCTTTTTTTTTTTTTTTTTTTTTTTTTTTTGAAAAAGCCAATATTTTTAACGAAAATTTCAGACGTGCTAGGAACGATTAAAAATGTAAAAAAATACCCCAAAATACTTTGATCTTTCCTCTTTAATAATATGAACATTAGACGATAAAATTTTGTTTTTTGTCAAGTTCGGCTTTTTTTTCATCATGCTATGCTCTTTTGTTTACATTTTCGTGGGTGAGTTGTCCCCTTTCATTCTCACGATGTGTTTTAATCGTTTTTCAAATTGATTTTGTTAAAAAAACAACTGTGTTTTTCCCATTTTCGCGCCGTTAGAACCACCACAAGGTAATTTTATATAGTCCTGTGAAGTTTTGTTGAAATCGGCTAAAAATGTATGAAATTGATCCAATATATAAACGTTACACACACACACACACACACACACACACACACACACACAATCTGCGTTTTATAATAAGTAAGATATGCCTAAGAACATACTCAGATCTTTAGTGAATATCTATACTGATGATAGACCATTTATAGGAGTATTTCCAAAAATCTGGGTGTCCAGGACCTTGCAGCTGATCTCTTCTCTGACCTCACCCAGGTGATACAATAGGGCAAAGCTTGGCTTGTAACATTCATTATCTTCAAGACCAAACTAGTGACATTCCACTATCACTGAACAGACCCTGAACCTTCACACATGTTGGATGGGTTTTCTCTCAAGGAGGCTTGCTTTGAACATCTATTGGGACTCTAGCTATCCCTGGACCTTGTGGAATTCATATATCCGATCTATTGCTGAAGGTACTGGAAAAATGGTCAGTTCATGGTACCATTCCAGGAAGTATCTGACTCCCCTTGCTATTACTTTAATTTTACAAGCACCAGATTAGACAAAATATGGAGTATTGCTGCCTTATCTGAGCTGGAGCTACCCGGTCTTCACTTGCCTGCCTCAATAGTTCAAAAGCGTATGTGACCTTGTGGGTGATGAATTATTTACTATCCTGTAAACCCTTTCTCACAGACCAAACATTACATTGCACGCCTCTCACTACTCTACTATTTCCATGGCAAATCTTCTGACAAGCTACATTCTTTAGTTTCAGCAATCCTGACCTTTTCAGCTAAAACTTACCATACCATGTACACAGAGACAAATTATCTGCATTTCCTTTGTAATCCATTGGTAAGAAGGAAGTTCCACTCAGATAGCGTCTTCCCTAGAATTACTACTTTGTGGAACAAACTCCCAATAGGATGTTTTCCCAATTACTACAGTCTTAACTTCAAGTCTATGGTTAACCGTTACTTCTACATAACCTCATAAACTGCACTTTTTACCTCCTCTTCTTACCCTCATAAAAAAATCATTCAATCAATAGCCCTTTACTTTTAGTGGCTCTTGGGTCTTGTATTGGATGAACATTAGTGTTAAAAAATGTCTCCATTTCATATCACTTTTTTTTTTCCTCAGCATTTCTAGCGATAAACGTGGTTTCAATCTGGATTACCTCCCTTGTCTCCGTCAACATTTGACCAAACCTCTTCAGGAACATGACAAAGATGGTGTTCCTGAAGTCATTAAGCTGATGGATGACTATGACATCATCAAGGAAGATTATGACAATATGATGGAATTCACCAAATGGCCTAACACAGTTGATTACTCAAAGACACTTAGTTCTTCAGTATGTTGTTTCTTTTTTATTCTTAAGTTTTCATTTAAAAGCTTTTTATCTCACAAATTTGACACTTTATATAATAACTGTGTATAACCGTGCTTTTCTAATACATTTATTTCTTGCAGACTAAGGCTGCATTTACTCGTGCATATAACAAAGAATCTCACATGACCCCTTATTCTACTGGAATACTCAGTAAAAAGCACAATAGGTCAGCACAAGTTTCGGCCAATTTCTTTAAGGAAGAAGATGCTGCTGATAACCAGGAAGAGGATGACAACACTGATGATATAGAAATTGATACCATGATTAAGGTATATCAAAGATGAATTATTTCTGTATTTATTATGTCTTTTAAATTAAACTTCACATGTTCCATACATTACTTCATCACAAGTTTAGAAGTGAAAGATTAATGAAGATAAATTAATAAAATGCATCTTAGTTACTTAGTCTGGTAATTTTATGGTTTTGATACTCTTACTGCACGTAAAAGAAATTCTTGTGACTTCATTAGAATTTATGCGATAACAAATTCAATGTTTTTTGTGAATTCTTTCTTCTGAAATATTTTATAAGTAGTAAGTGAATATCTACAGAATATGTAATACCACAAAACTACTGTCATTTTGTTATCCCTCATTCTGTTGAATGTTAGCTTTTTAATTTTGTTGAATTATCTGTCAATTTCAAACTGATTCAGCAGATAATTTTTACATAGAGCATTATGGGATAAGACTTGTTCTTTTAATCATAAATTTAAAAATGCATTTTTTATTTAATTTATTTTTATTTTTTTTATTTTTTCAGAAAAAAAAGACGGGAAAGGATAAAAAGATAAAAAGCAGCAGCAAAGGGAAATCCTAACATTTACATAAATGTTATCTTAATTCTGACTTGTCTATAAACATTGTTAGTTTTTTCCCATATTTGTGGAAGTATACTCTGCACAATGAATTGATTGTAAATAACTTAAAAACTTTTAAACAAATATTTTTTGTGCATTAGTTTTTGTTTTATAATAAAATATTTTGTTTTTCCTTTATTTTTTGTTTGGTTGCATTCAGTTTACAGTCATGGCACATTATTTATTATTATACAAAAATCAAACCTTTTCGAGTTGTAACTGAAAAGAACAATGTGACTGAACTCCACCTTAAATATTGAGTTCACATGATTTCACAGAAAAGAAAAGAGTGCATTAATATTTTAATGAAGTTTGTATCTTGGTTGTTTACAATTATTGCAAGCCTTCTCTCTTCATTTATCATTGATAAAGTTTTAATATTCCAGCATATCTTTTTTAACAATCTGTTTTAATTTATATGCTGGAAATTTAAATTTTTAAATTGCTTGGATAATTTTATTTTTCTCTCAAAATAATGTCACGAGCAAATGGTTGTCTTTCATAGCCTTAAAAATGTAACAAGATATCTACATCTAGGCTAAACTTGAATATGCAGGAGTTGAGGCTAGAGCAGACACCTTCCTGTGTCTTTATAGATTGTTTTGAGATGGTGAAAGTTGTTTGCTACCACAAAAAAACATGCTTAGCAAATGATAAACATGGCTAGAACAGCTTCATTTTGCTTACTTATAATTTCTGGTTTTACTAAAAAAATTCTTTTTGTCTTTTCTTTTCTTTATCTTTTAAAAGTGGAATACAAAGTGATTTATTTAAAAAGATAATTATCATTAATATACATTGAACAAACTTTGTATCATTTGATGGAGATGAAGCAAAATTTTCAAATCCTTCTCAGGTATAATATCTTATAATTGAATATTAGGATAACTGAATTGTTTCAAATAAATGTCTGTTTTTGTTTTGTTTTTTTTAAACCTATCAGAAAAGACAAAAACTATTTTTTCATTTAACACTGTATTACCACTTAGGTAGTTTTTTTTTTTATTGCTGTATATATTATATGAATAACTTAAGTGAATGGATTTATAAATACTCATCATAGTGATTTATTCTTTTTTTTCATAATTAAAGTTGAAATGACTACAGAAGTATTAATAAGTGTATTAAAAAAAATTACTGTTCACAAAATTATATAGCATGCCATCTTACTAAAAGAAAAGAACAAATGCATCTTAAAAGTAATGACAACTTATGAACACTTTTGGATGTACTGAATTGTAACTATTTATACTTTCAACTCATCTTTAATGAATAATCTGTTTCGTTATCTTTAACATCAGCTTCCTTGATGACAAAATCTTCAGAGCATTTTAAGAAAACCTTGAAAAGCCTGGAATTTAAAACAAAGACCTTGAATTTCTGAAAAATTGTGAAAAGAACATTGATAATATTGAAACTGTCAGCATATTACAGGCAATCTCAAATTACCTCACCTTTGTTCTTCTGAGTCCAGGTAAACTTGAAACTGAATATTAAATTATCGTGTTAATTTTATCTTTTTATCTGAGCCATTCCTCTGTGTTCATTTTTTGTATTTCAACTTTATGTCAGAGCTTCAGAGAGTGCTATCTCCCTTTATTACCTATTATTCTTTTTCAGAATTGTTTGTATTTTTTGTTTCAAGACAGTAATCCGATGATTTGTACAAGTTATCAATTGTAAAAACATCCAGCATCAGTATTTCTAGATGCAAAAATAGATATTGATGTTGGAAGTATGAATAGTTTGCATTAGATTCACACAAAAGTCTGAAGGACAAGAGAAAGGAAATGAGGAACCTAAGTCAAATCAAGATCCAGAGCTTTGATTATACTGCTGTGGGTTTTCTGGTGACTGAGGTAGGAAGCAGTTGGCTAGCTCTCACTCTTTATTTCCAAGCATCCCTGTCAAATTGGCTAATGTGGGCAATGTCTCATTCTTGCACATTCCTCCCAATGCAGTCCTTCCTCGTCTTCCTAGGTCTACCTTAACCTCCGTGACCAGGAATCCTGAACTCGGAGACAATCCTTGGCAAAACTTGTTGGACATGCCAAACCATTTATGACGATGGGTGTGCAGCACTGATGTTATATCCTCTCTATAGCCTATTAACTTTTGTGTCAACTTGAACACTGAATCCTATTTAAGATGGAAATGAACCTTGAATATCCTGGAATTGTTATATTTTTGCTATATACCATGACAGCATGTTTATATTATATTTAGATTTACCAAAATATAGTTTAAAAAACATCACCCTTAATTCATTTCCTTAATTCACAAACTGATTTAAATGTTTGTTGGTTAGCATTTTCAAGAGAGAAAATTGCGTTATTTGAATAACTAAGCAATTTAATTATGAAAGTCATCAACACAATTGTTGTTTATTTATCACAGAAGATCTATCTGGTAATAACAAAACTTTTTTTAATGTAATTTTTTTCAAGCTGAAGATGCAAAATAGTTATCTTCATTAATCAAGAACTGCTAAATTGGATGAGATATAATTAATAAAATGGTATTTGATGTCAGTTTTACATAATATTTACAAGTATACACATGTACCACTTTCCATGCTTCCGTATCGGTTAATAATCACCAGCCTTATTTACCTTTTTGCCACTCGTCCATTTTTTTCTAGTGAACCAGAATAGTTTACTTTTTGATATTACCAGATAAGAATTGAACTCACAACTACTAGAGAACCAGAAATGTTTTAGAACTTTAATCAACTAGGCCAACTGTCTTTTGAACAATGTATTGAAACCTAATCTCTGTATACAGTTGATGGAAATATGTCAGGAGGTAGTTTCTTTTTGTTTTTATTTTTTTAATCCTCAGAGGCTTCTAAATGACATTCATCCCTATGCTAGATCTACCAAGGAGATTGTCAGCCACTAATATGTGCATTGATTTCTCCAGTCATCTTATTCTCCAGTGTTATTCTTTCTATTCTCTCAACTTTATACCTCAAGGGCTATTGACCACTCTTCCTCCTAATATAGTCAGCCATGCATGGTTTCATTGTCTCTCTCTTAAAGTTTTTCAATGTTTTGGGGCATGTTTTTCTCCAAGGTGGTTTTTGGTTCATGAGAGATATCTCCAAAGAGTTAAACTACTTTTAAATAGTAGTTTAATGTTGTATGCAAATCCTTTTGAATCATTTATTGTATGTATGGTTGGCAGACTTTTTATTGTTACAATGTAATTATTATTTTGAAGGGGGTTTCTAATGTTGATAATCTTCTGTTGGTATGTGTCTGGGTCATCACTCATGTTTGACCCAATGTTGTAGACACTAGATGCTCCTTTTCTTGATATGAATGGGAAGACAGACACCTGAAGGTCAGCCACAAAACATGATTAAAACAACCTAACGATAAGCATGCTAGTCTGAATGGAAAAAATGTATAATAATTTAAATAAAATAAATTATATATTTTTAAATTATGTTTATCATTTATTTACGATAATGAAAATATCAAAATTGATTAAAATAAATTATTTTGAAATAAAATTGCTTTACAAAAAACGTCAAATTTTGTTGACGTTTAAATATACCTGTATGACAGAAACAAACACACAGGTATCCAGCGGGAGACATGAAAAAATTGCTTCAATGAATAAAACTTTCAACTTTAATCAAATTAAAACATAAGCATTTAATGGAGTCAAGGATGAATTTTTTTTTCCTTGAAATAAGTCTCAAAAATGTGAATTCAGTTTACTGGCATAGGTTATCTTCCTGTGGGGTTAGCTTAAGTCTACAAAAGCCCTAACCATTGCACGGTAAATTTTTGAGACTTATTTTAGTAGAAAAAAAAAATGCGTCCTTGACACTGATAAATAAAATTTTATCTTGAATGCTCATTTCATGAGACTTACAAGGTTTTCCTAAAAAAATTGTTCCAATTTTAATAAATATATGATTAAAATAGTCATAATTTAAATTTTAACATTAAAAAAAAATTATATAATTTAAATTATTTAAGTCAAAGTAATATGTCAACTTCACATGAAAAATTTCAAAATGTATCAAGTTTAGCTTAGTGTTAAAATTATTTTTTGATTCTTTAGTTGTGTGAGCTTCACTACCTATTTGGATCTTTACTGATACAATTGAAATTTATTTGATAGAAATCAGATGAATTTTTTCTTTTGTTTTTAAAATTTTCAAATATTTGTAAAACTTATTTTAGATCTTTGGTTTTGTTACACAATCTATTTTAATATTTTAAACTTATCAATAATGGATTAGGTTTCTTTCAAAATGTTTGTACTATACTGGTCAATTATCTTGTATTTGGAAACCCAGTTCATTAGTTAGAAAATTTAGAATTTAAATTTAGTATAACTATTTGATATTTAAGCATAACAGATTCTCAAGAGCCAGAATGATAAATATATATATATAATGTAACACAAGGCCAGCATAAGTAAGCACCAGTAAGGTTCTGCACCAGCTAATGATCTATTAAAGTTACTAACCATTTTTCTATGCTTGGTGCTCCTGTTTTGTCCAGAAAAACATCCTTTCCAAAGTATATGGAAAATCAGTAATTCATTAATATTCATTTTGATAACTGAACAAAAAATTTTCCTTAAAAAAAATTGAATAAGTTTAAGATTTTCCTGAAAATGTTCTTTTTGATTGTGCAAAAAAGTTTAAAAAAACAGGCCAAAAATTATTTAACATGGAAATGTTCATTTTTATGTTAGTTTGAAATTTACAAAAGATAGACATGTATACAAATTAGATATACTTAAGTTTTGCCATATTTTCACTTGCGAAAAAATATTTCAGATGTCTACAAAACAACCTTTTAGATAATGAATGTGCAACATACATTATATATATATATATATACATACATACCTAATTTGTGTATTTAGGTAGCAAATTCTTTTTTAGGCATGTCTGATTAAATAAATTAGACATTGTTTGCTAATTTTTAACAAA